AATATACAATAATTCACTTTACAGTATATTCTGTGAAGCGCTTTGAGATGTCTAGAAGATGTGATATATCAAATGCAAGGATTGCCAATTGACTAACAACCAGGTTTCTACTTATAGTTAGGTAAACAGAGGTGTACAAAGTAACAAAACTTGCCTAATGTTTCATACTGCCCAGGAATCAAACCTAGATCCTCTTGCATGCGAGGCGAGTGCTCTAACCAATACGTTACATATCAAATGTAAGAATTTTTGTGAACTGTAAGACTGTGGCTCAATAGGGAATATACAGTAACATTATTTTGCAGCACTGACAGTGCAGTGAAGAGGGCAGGAGAAGAGACATGCCCTGTTCTCTGGTGCGTGTGAGAGCTCTATTCATGATCAAACTAATCCTATTTCAGTCCCTAAAATTCAAACCGAGGCTTGTGCTGAATGACTCTATCTAAACCTAAGATTACACTCAGAAATTATGAACTTGTGTCGATTTAAACAAGAAACTATAACTACTTTTCTTATCTGCTGTTCATTCAGGGTTGAAGTCTGTATATTCATATACCACATTGCACTCTTCTTCTATGCAGATGGATTGCTCTAGGCCTTAATGTGGTCAATAACATGTGTAAGTCGCTTGTGTAACAAGGATGTGGCCAGAATTTTAAATGTAATAAGATGTTGATTTATGTACTGTCCCATTCCAGGTATTTACAACTTTGGTTACCCACAATGAAACCAACGCATCAGTTGTGAAGGAGCCTTAAGGAGCTAATACAAATTCTTCCAGACCTATTTTGCAAAGACATCATTAAAATTTTAATCATTTAAATATTTCCCTTAGGTTATTCTCGGTGAATTCTAAACAACTAGCAACTTTCAGGAGGTTTGAACAGACCTGAACAATATAAATTCAAAAATATCCTCCGAATTGCCTGGTTGGTGCCACATGATATTACCACTGCGGACAGATCTCTGCAACCTTAATGCCTCTATATCCATGTACTGTCACACTGCCACAGAAGCTGTGCAGCTTCTACCAAGGTCGGCTCGTGTTAGAAACCTGAACTCAAATTCCTCACAACTCTTGAGACGTGCATCGTACGTTTTCTTCCTTTGCCTCAGCACATATGCTGAGAGGGTCTCATTATTCTATGCCTGTCACTCTAAGAAAAGATGAAGGCATTGTGTGTCCTTTAACCTTTACCATCTTTGTACTGGAGAACTGTTTTAAAGAACTTAAAAGTACTTTCAGTTAACTTAATTTTAGAAACTAACAGCACAGAAAGAGATCTCTTGGCTATCGTTAGAGACTTTTAGTTGTCCATTTTGTTTTTCAAGTTAGCCCCCTTTTATTATTATTTATTGCTTACACGTTTCCCATATGCCTCAGTGTTTTTACTACTCAACTGCTTCTCTAGTTCTCTTAGAAATGATTCTATCGATTCATCCTCAACACTTGTAAATTATGCATTGGGGCCTCAATTCTCATTGGAGCAAGAACATGGTATTATAGCTGTGATGCCCTAGAAACTAATTCCTTATCTCTGCAAAACGTGGAGTCCTGTAGCTCAATGGTTAGAGCACTCACTTTGCAAGCAAGAGACCTGGGTTTGATTCCCAGCAGGGCGAAACCTTGGGCAAGTTTCCTTACTGCACACGCCTGATAATAATCCCTCAAGAAAAAAAAATAAATTGGTAATTTCAATCCATGACTGTTTATGGGACACTGCTGTGCGCAATTGGCTGCCACCACAAATGTACAGTCAATTCAGTTTATAAATTCAGTATACAGTCTATTCTGTGAAGAGCTTTGAGAGGTCTAGAAGATGTGAAAAGCGCTATATCAAATGCAAGGATTATTATTTAAAACTGCTGCTGAGAAGCCAAATGCTTGCATGCAAGGGGAAAGGTAAACATCAAGAATCGCACTTCTACAGTGCACCACTTACTGGCTGTTAATACTGACATGGAGATGTTTGGACTGGCAGGTGGTCACCAACAAAACAAACAAGAAAACAATTACAATACAATATAAATTTACATATATATAGCGCCCATCACAATGGGAGGATGTCCCGAAGGGCTCAACACTATTGGCTGGGCAACCGAGCCGGGGGTGGGGAGAGAAGATTTGTGGAGAGAAGATGACCGAAGGTGCAGTTAAAGAGTAACCATCACAAAATAATAATTTTATACATGTCAATTTTTCTCACTGAATATTTTACTGGTTTTCCATAAGACATAGGAGCAGGAATAGGCCATTTGGCCCCTTGAGCCTGCCTCGCCATTTAATAAGATCATGGCTGATCTTCTAACCTAATTCCATTTACCTACCCTATCCCCATATCCCTTAATCCCTCTCCTTTAGAAATCTATCAACCTCAGTCTTGAATATGTTCAAGGACTGAGCATCCACAGCCTTCTGGGATAGTGAATTCACTACCGTCTGAGTGAAGAAATATTTCCTCAGCTCAGTTCGAAAAGGCTGACCCTTAATCTTGAGACTGTGACCCCTAGTTTTAGATTCTCCAACCAGGGGAAACAGTCTCACGACATCTACCCTGTCAAGCCCCATAAGAATCTTATAGGTTTCTATAAGATCACCTCTAATTCTTCTATATTCTAGAGAATATAGGCTTAGTTTACTCAACCTATCCTCATAGGTCAACCAGGAACCAACCTCGTGAATCTATGTTGCACTCCCTCTAAGGCGAGTATGTCCTTTCTTAAATAAATGAGACCAAAACTGCACAGAATATTTCTAGGTGCGGTCTCACCAAGGCCTTATACAACTGCAGCAAGACTTCCCTACTCTTGTACTCTAACCCTTTTGCAACAAACGCCAACATGGCATTAACCTTCCTAGTTGCTTGCTGTACCTGCATACTAACTTTTTGTGACTGGTGTACAAGGACACCCAAATCCCTCTGAACACTAACACTACCTAGTCTCTCCCCCTCTAGAAAATAATCTGCTTTTCTATTTTTACTACCTAGGTGAATAACTTCACACTTCCCCACGTTTTCCATTGGACAACATTTTAATGCAATAACTGTAGAATTGCAGGGCACAGATACAATGTCAGACTCTCAATACTCTAAAGCAAAAGTGAGACAGAGCAAGTGTTAACTTAAACTACAGTATATAAAGCCTGGTGACCTTTAGCTACATGTTCATTCCAGAGGTAACTGAGCAATGGAAGCCTTCAGAGGATTTTGAAAAGAACTCATTGATGCTAACCAATTTTCATAAGGGAGTGTGGAAGGAATATTGCACCTCCTTTCTCACCACCTCCCAAAGTAAAATCGATAACCTCACACAAAATATAAAGTACATCTATATCTGCATAAATATATTATTATAAACTGGAACTCAACTTTAAATTTCCCAGTAAAATAAAGAAGGAAAGCTCCCCTTACCGGTCTGTGCCAGTCAGATGATTGCGCCTGGATTTCAGCATAATTTTTGCATTAAGTATTGATCCCTGGCTGTGGGTCAGGAGTGAAAATATATGCCTTAAATGTTAAGAAACATGATCATTCTTATCCTCAATAAGAATTTGAAGTCTAGGCTGACACTCTTAATGTCGTGGTAGGAGTGCGTTGCATTGTTCGGATGAGATGTTAAACATAGGTCCCATTTGTTTGTTCAGGTGGACATTAAAGATTCCCATGGCACTACTCAGAAAGAAAGTGTAGTTTCTCCTAGTGGCCTGGCCAAGAATTCCCCCAAGGAAAATTGATCATTTGTTTCATGGCTATTTGTGGGGCATTTTTGTGCACAGATTAGCTGCTGCATTTGCCAACAAAATACAGTCACTCCACTCTACAGTAAATCGTGTGAATACTTTGAGACATCCTCCTACCGTTAAAGGTGCTATATCAAACAAAGATGTTTTTAATATATATGGCACTCAGGAAATTCTACTGGAGGCGTTTTATACAGAAATGTAACATCTCCCACACAAGATCTGGGGGTTGAAAATGTGCTGTTTATTTCAAGAGTTATGATTTATGACTTAAGAGCACAAACTAACGAATCAAGATTGCAAAGCCAACATTTTCTTCTCCTAAATCTAATGCTCGATCTTTTGTTTTAGTATACAGCCCAAAGGCAGATACAATTGCCAGAAGTGGTCTCGTATTGCCCAGTTTCGATTCATACCTTTAGAATTAATTTATATCCAACTGAAGAATTTTCAAAACAGGGACACTTTGATCTCAATGTCACAGTGGAGAAGTGCTAAGTGGTGTCCACGCACTTCTACATAAGAAAGGAGGAAAAGTAGATGTCTCTCATTAACCTGTCACAGAAGTTTGCTAGAGGCTTGAGAGTAGGCCACTACCCTGTGCTATCAAAACTATTATGGTGTAGTGTGTGTATGTTGAGGGAGAGGGGGGAGCTGTTGATGGGAAGGAGGGACTCAGCAAGTGTACTGCATGGTTGCCGTGAATGTGGGCTGCCTAGGCCTCAGAGGCAATGCAGAGGAGAGCAACAAGGCAGATCCCTAGTTTAAGAGGAATGAGCTATGAGCAACACGTAAGTCAAGCTACTGCAGTCTTGAAACAAAACCTCCCTTAGAGATGTATAACATTTTAATGAGATTGAAAAAGTAAATGCAGAACAATACATTCAGATGTAACAAGACAGTAGAACCAGAGGACAAGTTTAGAGTTGCAATGGGCAATTTCAGGACGTATTTATTTTCCCGGACGGCAAGTAAAGATTGGAATAGGTTACCAGGAAGAGTGGTCAAGGTCAGGACATTGGATTCATTAAAATGAAACAGCTGAAATAATATGTCAGGATTGCCCTAGGGTAGGTTTGCTGGAAGGATGCAATCAAATGGGCAGAAGGGCTTTCTTGATCCTAACTAATCTTGTAATCTGGTGAATGCATGCAGTGTGTGTGGCGGAGGGGGGGGGGGGGGGGGGTGGGATGAAAGGAGAAAGAATGGATGCAGGAAAGTGGAAACAAGACATATTCCTAAGGATTCACAAACAAGGTAATCACATAACACCTTTATTTAATTGCTTGCTTTGCCGCATTCCAAAGCCATCTTGATCTTTTACAACATTTAAATGACTCAAAAATTACATCACACATTACTAATCATTACAGTTGTCATGTCATCCTAAACTGAAACATTGTTGCTTTGACCTTGCTGGATAGCTGCTGGACAAGCTCAGGAAAGATTTGTTCCTTGAAGATGGCATTTCTCTTGGGAAACTACCTCTAATACTGTTTGAACTATTCGCAGTTATAAATCATCCTCACTGTTGGCTGTTAAATGGGTACAGTATACAACAGTCACTCTTAACTGTGTTCAAATCAGTTTACTAATGTGTGTGAAAAAAGCAAATGAACTGTGTAAGAGGTAAAAAAAAGCTTTTGCATTTGGTCCTAATTTATAGGCTTCCAAAATATATCATCTTTCCATTATCTGAATGAGCACAATTAACAATTTGACTATGGAAACACTAAAACAATGTAAACGTTTCTAAGCATTAATTAAAAATAATGGCTGATCTACCTGGCTACTACATACAAAAGTGAACTACATAAAAACATTTGAACATAAGAAATTCTGCCAAAAGTTAGCTACTCTTTGAAAAAAATGATTGTTCAGCTTTCAAATAGGAATGCAAGCAAACAATAAATACAATGTGCTTTCTTCGTTATAGACATATTTACACTCGTCTTTGGCTTATAGTAAAAGTTGTACTACAAATTACTTGGTGTGATCCAGCCGTGATTGCACATTAAACTTTAATAAGCCAGTCCAAATATTGCAGCACTTACTGTAGCAGTATGCAAATGGTATTTTACATCCCTGCACACATTTCTGCTTTCAAATAGGATCAGTTCGCAACAAAATATAGCATCAGTGTAGAAAATTTGTGCATGCAAACTGTAACAGCTTGGTTGTAATTTTTAAAAAAATGTTAACACTGAAACGCTTTTAATCATCACTGGGCATAGGCGATCCATAGCTAGACCGCATCATAAACAATGGCACCGAACACTGCCCGATAGTTTGGACATAGACAAATACATCGTCATCGGACTCAATATAGTTTTATAACAAAAGAAAAATACTTAAATAAGTTAAACCAATTCCCTCATTAGAACGTCTTCATGCACAGGCTCATTGATGACGATTCCTCTGGAAAACTAGCACAACTTCGCACAGATGTAAAAGTTGCCACGTGATCAGCACACCCCTTCCAAACTATGACGATTCAAGATATTCCGAGGCCACATCATAACAGAATCGATACTGCTCCTGCAAGGGAAGGCAAAAGGAAAAAGGTGATTTTATCTGCAACCTGGTTGCAAAATTATCTTGGTTCCTCTGATAATTCTGCAATCACAGTTCTTGGAAATATGCTGACATTATATTACATAAACATGTCAACAGGCTTACTGCTATCATTTGCAAGAACCTCTGACATTCACACAATATCAAACTGGTTAACAATGACAAGAGAGACAGGTTTTTCATAGGATTTTGGTTGCATGTGGTTAGTCGTTATAGAAACCACATCATCAGTATAGAAGAAGGGAGTTTTATTATATCAATGTTACAAACCTGTTGATTACATACAGGATTTTTAATCATACATCTACTTTCTCCTCTTTGTATGAAATGTTAAACTGAATAATGTTAAAGAGTATTATTATGTTATCCTTTGGATTAAATGTTAAACCCAGGTGGATTTTAAAGAACCTATGTCGCTATTTGAAAAGAGAGATGAGTTTCTCTTAGTGTCCAAGCCAACAACCCCTTAAATAAAATTGGTCACTCACTCCATGGCTATTTGTGGGACATTGCTGTATGCAAAGTGGCTGCTGCATTTTGCACACACAATACACACTCCACACTAAATCCCTGTGAAGTGCTTTGAGGTGTCTTTCAGGCATGATAAGGCACTACATGAAATATAAGGATTACTTTTATTATTATAGGATTTTTGGACAGGATACTAGGAGAAACTTCCTTCTCTTTCTGAAGTCTCACTGTAACTCAGTGGTTAGAGCTCTCGCCTCACAAGTGAGAGATCTGGATTTGATTTCTGGTAGGCCGAAATGTTGAGCAAGTTTCCTTATTCCACACACCTCTGTTTACCTGGCAGTAATTGGGAACCTGGTTGTTAGTCGATTGGCAGATTGCTTTTCTGGGGCTAATAATTCCGTCAAAAAAAAAAGTAAATCAAATTGGTCACTCAGTGCATGACTGTTTGTGGAACATGGCTGTGCGTAATTGGCTGTTGAGTTTTGCCCACAAAATATACAGTCGATTCATTTTACAGTAATTCTGTGAAGTTCTTTGAGACGTCTCAAAGATGTGATAAAGTGCTATATCAAATGCAAGGATTATTATTATTTACTAGTTTTCAAATCGCACCTGAAGACTTTCATCTTTGTCCGTGCCTACAGTCACCTCCCCTTTCTCCCCAGCTCAGTGTCAAACTCTGCCATTGTTTAGCATTACAAGACACGACTCCACGTAAAGGGCATTATATAAATGCAAGTTGTTGTTGAATATTACCATGGGAACTTTTGATGTCCAGCTGAACAGGCAGACGAGACGAGACCTCGGTTTAAACTCATGTCTGAAGAAAGCATCTGCCACAATGCAGCACATCTCCAGCATTGCACAGGAGCATCAGCTCAGACTGCGAGATCGAAGTCCTAACAGGGGCTTTTAATTCACAATCTTCTGAACTAGAGGTGAGAGTGTAACCAGTTGAGCCAGGCTGGCACCTTAAACAATCCTTAATACTGTCCCCACAGAGATCAACTAACTCAGCAGGAAAAAAAATCTGAAACTTTTGTGTCTTCATGGATCAACTGGTTACTGGATAAAAAAACAAGGAACCAAGAGACCTTGATGGAAGATTATTAAAAGTTTTAACCAGCTATCCATGAAAATAATATATTTTTAAACAATATAGAACTGTCAAAATGCTAGTAATGCATTTATATAAACATGCAGCAGGCCTTAAGGCTTAAAACTCCTGCCAGCAACTCAACTTGGTGTCCACTCCCTTGGGCTGTTAAATTTATCTTGTTGACTGCTTGCACTTCCAAATATCAGTCCAAGAGACACATCTCAGCTTGATCGGTCGGTCACTCCAATGAAGCAGCCAGGAGTCAAATCCTACTGTGCAATCTCCTGATTAGCTGGAAACCCAACCTTTTGAACTAGTTTTTGGAGCTGAATTTAGGCCTACAGGGGTCCGAACATCAGGATGGTGGAGGAACAGGAAAATTAGAACAATTTTGTTTTTTAAATAATGAATACAGAAATTTTATAAAATAGAAGTTAAAAAGTAAGTATAAGCAAACCGTGAATCAAATATCAAAGTATTACAGAGAATGGGACAGAAGATTTTTTAAAAAAAGAATAGACCCTTTTAGAATTTTTCTGAAGCTTCCACTTTATTATTATAGGAATAAAACTACCATTGCACTGTGTGAGGGTTGCTATATAAATGCAAGTTGTTGTTGTACTAGTAAGAGACTTTTCTGCCTTACAGTGCAAGAGCTGACTTCATTTTAATAAAATGAACTGCTCAAAAGTACTTGGAGGTGCCAGGACTGCAAGAGTTCAACCGGATTCAATACCTACACAAGATATTTTGATTTTTGGCCACCTCCCAACTGGTTTGAATTCCACAGAACATTTCACAGGAGAAACAACTCGGCTTAATCCTTCTGAGTAAAATGCCGTGTAAAATAGGATGTATGCAGATATAAAAATCCAGGCAACATCAGGAAACACCAATTACATTCAGCGCTCCAATTTGCTATCCTCCCTAAAGGGTGCTATATAAATGCAAGCCGTTGTTCAATTTACTTGCTTTTAACATTATTTATTTAGCTTAAAGATAAATCTCTCAGAGGTTTACTCTTTGTTAACAGTGGAAACTATGAATAGCCTCAAATTACTTGCTCAGCACAGCAGCAAAATGTCAACAACAACTTGCATTTATATATCATCCTTCATGTGAGTGGCATCTCGGTTTTATAATGAGTTGGAAAGAGAGGGGAAGTGCCCAAAGGCACAGTCTGAAATATGTTTTTGCTTCTTGGGGTAGAAAATAGAATTGTTTTGGGAAAAAAATGAAAGATTCCAGAGTAATCAGATATAGGGGTTCAGAAATTTCAAATAGATTTGGTGAAAGGGCTCAACACTTCAAATTAATGTCAATGGCACTATCAGAGTGAATGTCCGCCTACAGCAAAGTTACAGCCATAAATCAGGTCACCTAGAACACCTGCAAATGAAAGACTTCAGCAATACAATTTGCAGATAAGCCAAATAACATGTATTGCAAGCAGCGCCCAGCAGTGTCTCAGTTCAATTAAAATGAGTCAAATCCTTATAAGTTGAGCTGAACTTGTATCAGCCAGCACAGCACGCATTTATTTTTTTTCAGTGAGAAAGAAACAATGCTGAAAAGGATGTGGTTGGGGAGAACCTCTGGGCCCATTTGTGCAGACTAACGTTATCTGATTATCTCTGTAGATACAGAGTAGCAGCAGCAAAACTTTGGTGGTTTGTAATCTCATAGCAACAAGACAATGGGTGGCTCTCATTTTACACTGTTCGGTTGCGCTGCACCCGCCAAATAAAACCACTTTTAGAGGTTTTTGGGGTTCAACAGAATAACGTACTGGTTGATTACTTGTGAACAAATGCCGGGTACATTTCTAATGCAAAATTTGTTCCACGTGTTAAATTTCTGAGAGTTCAATTTACTTGCTGTTATTATTCACCTATTGCGCAGTAATATTAATAATTCTTGCATTTGACAATAGCGCCTCATCGCATCTTCGAGACGTCTCAAAGTGCCTCACAGAATATAAAGTGAATTGACCGAAACGCGGCAGCCAATTGCACACAGTCGTGGCTCACAAATAGCCATGGATTGAAGTGACCAATTTATTTTTTATTTTTTTGAAGGAATTATTACCCACAGAAAAGTGACCTGCCAATCGATTAACAACCGGGTTCCTACTTTTTGCTAGGTAAACAGAGGCGTGTGGAGTCAGGAAACTTGCTACATTATCTCACGTGTTCCTTTGAGCACAATAATTAAATCGTCTCTTCCTTCCTCCCTCCCCACACCCTGGCTAATCTTTTGTCACCTTGTGCAGATTACGAATCCGAACAGTTTAAAAACAAATGTTCAATATGTTGAACACTGAATAGCACTTGGCGGCTACCATACATCTCAGAATGTTTTTATCTCTTAAGTTTGATTGTGGAGTGGAATGAGAAGAGACCATAGAACATATACTACATGTTCCTGAGATTCTCAGAACACTTCTGACAGGTTTTAGTTGTGCAGCTTTAGTTATATATTGCAAAGATATAATCAATGATGTTATGTTCAAATCTAGTTCAAGACTGCTAACTGCAAAAAGAAAAAAAAAGTGGATGTCTGCTTACGTAAAAAATCAAGTCGCAAAAAAAGATCTGAACTTGGATATTGTTTGTGGGTATTCATCTTTCTATTTGTATCAACTTTTAAAGAATGCTTGCTTTTACGATTTAGGATAATGTATAAGAATCCAGAAACTGTTGCTGACTTGCATCTAATTGAATTAATTTCAATGCATAATTTATCCAAGTTTGCTTCAGGTATCCTGAATTCTCAGTTCTGGGGCTGAATAGATGAAAGTTCTGCTTTCATACCTCTGTCATCGCTCCTTTTAGCTGGTGTGACTGGAAACAAGGAGATGCAATCCATCTCCCACTGAGGAAATCCCTCATCTTATTTTTCCCTCTCGTTCAGAGACACTGCAACCTTCATCTTAAACAGACCAAATTGATGCCTTCCCACTCCATATAACATTCCTGAAGAGTCCAACATTCAATACCCCAACAACAACAAAATTACATTCATAGAGCGCCTTTCACGTCGGGAGGACGTCCCAAAGCGCTGAACAGTCAGATGTCGGGAGCCAAGCATGGGGGAGGTGTGGTGTAGGAGTGAGGGAAGGCAGAGAGGTGGGAGGGAGACCAAAGGCACAGTCGAAGAGAAGGGTCTTGAGACTGGCCTTGAAGGATGCAAGGAAGGAAGCGAGCCGATGGGACCATGGGATGGAGTTCCAGAGTGTGGGGGCAGAGAGGCTGAAAGCCCGGCCACCGATAGTAGGGCGGGTCGGACAGGAGACATGGAGTCAGCAGGTCAGAGAGGTAAAGGGGGCAAGGCCATGGATGGCGTTAAAGGTGAGGACGAGGATCTTGAACTCGATCCTCTGAGGGATGGGGAGCCAGTGAAGTTGGGCGAGGGTGTGAGTGATGGGGTGGCGGAGACTGGTGCGTGAGAGTACGAGCTGCAGAGTTTTGGATGATCTGCAGCTTGTGAAGGGAAGAGTTGGGAAGGCCGATGAGGAGGGAGTTTCCGTAATCAAGCCTTGAGGTGATGAATACGTGGGTGAGGGTTTCGGCAGCCTGAGGGGTGAGGCAGTGGTGGAGTCTGGCAATGTTGCGGAGGTGGTGGTAGGCAGTGCCGGTCATGGCTAATCTATATAGCGCAGGGTAGAGACTCATAGCGCTTAACAGAGACAGAGCCGAACTTCGAGCCGGGGCAGGGAGGTGACCATAAGTACGGCCGAAAATGAAGGTTTTCAGGCGAGACTTAAAAATGGGGATCGAGGGGGCAAGGCAGAGGGATTGAGGGAGAGGGTTCTAAAATCGACATCTCAACGCGCACAGACTGGTCGAAACTGTGTTTTATAGAATCCACATCTTCAACCTTGTTTCTTTTACCCAAGCAAATAATAGCAAAAAGAAGCAAATAATCCTGGCATTTGGTATATAGCCTTTCACATCAGTACAATGTCCCAAAGTGCTTCACATGATTTATTGTAAAGTAGAGTGACTGCTTCGTGGGCGAACAGAATCTATAGTACATAGAATTTTTGAAAGGTTCAAAAATAATGACTCACCAGGGTTTCCACCATGTTTGGCTTGTTGTTCCGAAGTGTCTTTACTCCATGGAAAACATCAACTATGTTTTGTCTTTTGATCATCTCACAGATTATGTTAATGGCACAGAACATTCCACTGCGACCTCCTCCATTTCTGCAATGTAGAAGCAAGAACTGATTGTGATTAGCACGCAAACTCTAAATGATCATTACTCTTCTGCAGAGTTTTTTTTATTACCAAAGCTTTTTCTGCAAAGTTTTAAAATCTTTATAAAGGCACAAAAGCACTGCACACGCTAGGACTTTTTGAGTGAAATCCAATGTCTTATGCCTGGTTTTACTGGGGTTGAAAAATAGCATGTGATGGGTTATCACAATACATATTGCATTTCCTATCCCATTAAAACCTTGTTTTAATCACCATCCTCCATTTATCTTGATGCTGTTGGAACAGTTTGTACTCTGAAGAAGGGAAATTTGGACTTAATATGGGGATTTAAAAAATATATATTTATATACACAAAAATCCCACACCAATCTTATCCACTGCATTTTCATAAGGCAACCCTCACACACACACTTTGATATCCCTTCAAATCACTCCTTTAGGAAAACTAGATCTGCTGACATTTAACTGTGACCTCTACTTATAGTTCAACTCCTTTTGTCTTGCCCCAGTCGGTGGCTGATTGCAATTGCCCTTTCAGCGTCTGTTCAAAATCTACAAGACAGCCTCTGCATGAAAACACAAAGCATGACATCTACCTTGATCTCAAAGACAGTTAGGAAATAAAAACCAACAGTACGGGGTAAAGGCATGCATTATCAATGTAGTTGTAAATACTGAAGAGCTTTGGGAGCCAGTTTGCATGCAGCACCATTCTGACATTACTCACAGACAATGGATTATAGTGCGCCCTTCTCCTTCATCACACTCTTCTTGCCATTTATCAACTTGAAGAATTAACTTCAGAAATGATCGCTTCGAGGCAGGTACTTCTCTGTGACTAGCCCATCCTAGATATTGGAACTGCTGTACCATGAGATAACCTTCTTGTGGCTGAAGGATTAAATAAAGGACAGACATTGACACATCGGCTTCAATAAGAAAACAATAACTGTGCAGCAATGGCCATTATCGTCAAATCTAGTCTGGCGTGCTGAAAAAATACATGCTTCTATAAAAGATCCCAGCAGTTTAAGCTGCATAGATACAGTTCATAGTGTATAATATTTCCAGTACATCATTCACCAGTTTTGTCTTATTGGAATTTGCTGCTGGAAATGACAGCTCAAATATTTGCTCAGATACTATATTCCATAGTCAGGATTGCAGGCCAGGTTTACAAGTCCATTTGGGAAACTTGATAATTTACCAATGTCCACGACTCATTCAAATCCTTTTACTTTAAGCTCTTTTAAAAAAGGTTTAGCAAAGCTATACATTTGTCATAACCTGTGAGGCTTAAGAAAAGAAAAAAAAATACATTTGTGAGGTTGGCCAATAGAACATACAACTTCTGCAGAAAACCACAGTTCTGCAGAGTGGGAACTTAAAAATCGTATCATTCAAGAACAACTTTGTGTGTATGTATCACAGGTTTGCTGAAAGCTAGACATTTAATACTGAAACTGGTGCATCTCATGTAGGAGATGAGTGCAATAAAAAAGTAAAAGGTGAACACATGGCAGCCAGGAAATGGTGGGAACATGTATTAATACTTTGCCAGTGTGGCAGGACTACACATAGTTACTGATACAGATGTTATCACACTTGGAGAAATATGTAATCTGCAGAATAACAGACGTGCAAAAATGGTTGAAAATCTAAATGAGATGGGAACCAAAGCTTGGGTAGTGCAAAAGGAGTAGCCATTCAGCCCAGTGTGTCATGTCAACCGCTCTGAGACAATGTTGGGGCGAAGCAGAGTTATTTCAAGTCAATGTGACAAGATGTGCTTCATGCACTGAAAGGTCTGTTCTTGCAGCAAGGAGCCGATAATGCTGCTGCTTTCCTGAGGTGTCTTTGTCAACCCCATTCTCTCCCTTGGCAAGATTAATTGAACAAAATATTGCTGTGCATATTACTAAATCCACATTTTATAATTAAAAATCTCTTATCCAGTAAACATTTTGGTTAGAAAACTGGGGATTGTTTGCAAAACAGATTTGGGGCATATTTCGACAGACCGTACTGGGTCAGTACAGGAAACGGCACATTCTTATATTAATATTATTAATATTTCCATTTGATTGCACGCCTTATTTCATCAAAATGTCGCAAAGTATTTCACAGGATTTACTGTAAAGTGTAGTAACTGTCTCTTTGTACATAAACATTCTTAAATCAGAGAAAGCCTCCTGATATGCCCTCTCACTTTCTTCGATGTAATTTGAGTAAAATGTGAAACAAAGAATACTTTTTGCAAAACTGATCCACTGACAGTGACAGTTCTGTGGAAACAGGCCAATGTTTAGGTCAGGCACAGTTGGGGGTCCCTGTGTATGCATGTCTCTGATGTTATTTATGTGATTGAAGAGCTTGGGATTTAAGGTTGAATAAACTTTAACACATCCAAGTGCTTGTCAATTTTCTTGTATCCCAAAGGTATTTTGACTCCTTTTCTCCTTCTTCTACAGTATGGCTCCACAAGCATCAAGCGGCCATCCGCTACCTCACCCAAATACCCGTAATTTATTCCATATCTGAGCCTTGACGATAACTGTCAGCCAGTTATTCATCTACGAGTGATTGTGTAGAGAGAAATAACAGATGGGCTCAATACTGTCCTCATCCGAGGTCTACATAGCGCATCTCTCCACAAGTTCACAAAAGAACAAAGAGTGAGGACCCCAGCTGATCTTCCCTTCCTTAACTAGGACAGTATTGCCAATTATTGTGCCCTAGCATTGCTCATCTGAAATGAGCGAACTCAGCATAAAACAGGGATCTTCGCAATTTGCATGGATCAGCTATTCACTAAGCCCTTGGAGTGTTGATTTTTATATTTACTGGTACTCATTACAGTACGGTTCCAATGACTGAAAAACTATTGTAACAGCTTCAGTACATATAATGACATACGACTACTGCTGGCCCACATCTCTTGAAAATAATAAGAGTGAGGGAAGAAGGCATGAAGTTGTTTAAAAAGGAAGATCTTTGCATTTACTTAAAGGTACGAGACCAATGAAAGCCTCTCAGTTTACCGATGGCAGCTATTTTTATGCAAAACAATGTAGTGTGTGCATAAATTAATATGGAACCTACTAAAAATATCAGTTTTGTCCCCTCAATTCTACAATACTTTTTGCCTTTTACCTTTTATTCAGAGAAATAGTTTGCAGTAACCTCTATAAGAAGAAAAAAAGTGGCAAGAATGCATGTAGAGTTGGCTGGTCTCTTACCATAGCCAGATTAATCTCTGTCCTCCGATTCTTTGTTTGCCATCTCGATTTAAGATAGTGGAAATGCCAGATTCAAACCCACATAAAATCTGCCAAGACTTATAACAGTAATAATCCTTCCATTTGATATAGTGCTTTTCCCATCAACAGGATGTCTCAAAGCGCTTCACAGGATATACTATAAATTCCAGTGACTGGTGCATTTTGTGAGTGAACGCAACATCCAATTTGTGAACAGCAATGTCCCACAAACAGCCACAGAGTGAGTGACCATTTATTTGTGGATTGTTGGCCTGGAAACCAAGAGAAACACCATTCTCTTTTTGAATAGTGTCGTGGGATCTATAATGTCCATCTTAAAAAGCAGGTGCGCTATGTAGACCTCATCCAAAGGACACCCGAACATTGCAATGGAGTGTCAACATAGGCTGCATGGGTTTCAATTCCCAATGTTTGAACCCAGAGGTGAGAGTGATACCGACTGAGCAAGGCTCACAAACCTTGCTGGAAGAAGTGGCAATTTACATGCACAAGGTTGTTCATTTAAAAATGGGGGTTAGCATGGCCTGAATATCGAGATATTTATAAAAACATACAGTATAGACCAGATATTGCACGCAATTGACCTAGATGGTTGATGGAAATATATAGACAAAATTCTACTGGGAGAAGATAAGTGAGACATTTCTCTATTTTTGAACCATATTCTTCTGTACTCTATAACTTTGAGGTGTGTTAGCTGTCAGGCTGATCCCATGAGTATAGGAGATTTTAATATACTTGGCAGTTGGTTGGATCTCCAGTGAAATGGGTCACCCAAATGTTATACTTGTGTGGAATCAAATTGTACTGTAAATTTCTACTTGTGTAGTTAGTGTGATAACTAAACACTGTCAATTTAAATACAAAACTTTATCTTACTCATATTAGTTGCCTTCAGGAGAGGAAGGAGAAAATGTTACAGAGGAGGGGGAACATCATCTCTATTTCTCCAGAGTGCTGTCACTTATGAAATCATCTGACCAAAAACATGACAAATATCTGAGAAGGAACATTCCTCTTCCACTCTTGGCACACACTACAGCTCTTAAAACAATATTAACACTTCAACCTGTTTAAATAAAAGCATTATTAAAATGCATACATCAATCACGAAAACCTCAAGTGTCGACAGCTGCAAATCCATCTGGAAAAGTGCTGCCACTTGCTCTGCATTACACAACTTGTATTGTTAATTACAGAATATTCAACGCAAAGTTCAGGTGGATGAACCCATGGCTCAGCTTTCCGAATGGCAAGCATTCGATCGCGTGTGTCAGATTGACACATCCCATTAATAGAATCAATGATTTGTTTTCCTCCTGCCCTCAATTCCCTTGCCACCTTCCGCACCGTCACTTCCAAACAAAAAAACACTCAATTCGTTGCTGGTTTGAATAGATGAAAAACGAATATTCCTGATCTGCCTCTTCTGTTACATTGTTTTGACAAACAAACATGATTTTCAAAAAAAGTGATTTTGAAACATTCAAAAAATGATTCCTCCTGGAACTGATTTTTCAAGGCCGTCAACTCATATTTGTTTTACACAAAACAAAAACCGTGTGACTTTCTGTACTTGAATCTTCCTGTTATTTTCTCATACAACTTCAAGACGCCATTTTCTCAGAGTTTATATAAAGTGTTAGAATCACTGAATGCAACGTGCCGTTCAGCCCTACATATCTCCCCTGTGTTTTTCTCCCTTTGAGCTAGCTGATCTAATCTCACTGTTCTGGTCACAACCTTCAATATCGCACTGAGCAGAGAACTGGAAGCATCTCACCTGTCTATTAATTTATTCCAGCTGTGCAATGACCATAGCAAATTTTTTTTTGATTAAAAAAACAGTTCCAAAAATGACATGTTTGGAAACACAAATCCAAAACATCTTTTGTCCCGTATTTTATGTAAGCTTCCCCTAATCACAAAATTAACCTTTTAATGTGGTTTATAGATGTGATACCCATCATTTTGAAAAAGGATGTTCAGTTAGGTGTCTATAATGAAGATGAGTGTAGTTCCATGTTATTCAGGGAAGCATTTAGAAAACCACTTGCATAAACAAAAAACAAGGAATGGCTGGTTCCATCTCTTTTGCGCAATTCAAACAAAGGCCACTTGCCCAGCCTCAGTCAATTTGAGAGAAATGGCCAGAGTCCCTTCTGATTGAGAAAGCAGGCAGTGATGAAGGGCAATGGTCAGTTGAAATCACAGCCACAACCCATAAGGGAAGTTGTGAGTAACAAGAGTACAGAAAACCAAAACTCAATGTGAGAATAAGTAGGTTACAGGATGTAATTTCAGAAAGCATCTTATAAATATTATCAGGTGTTAGCATCTAACTTTTGCTTCCAGCAAATGTGGAATTCACGAAAGGCCAGCAGAAGTTTAGTATTTCTTAACTCCCATTTACAATACTTTCAGATTCAATTCCCTCTTCCCCGACAGCAATTTTAGTTCACATCCTTTGCGCTATTACTTTTCTAAATTATTTTGATACTCCTGGTGAATTTCTTCTTCTGCCTTTCCCACAAAATTGATCTCAGTCAATTTAAAATAAAAATAAAATGTTTTTCCACAGATAAGAAAAAAAATCTGTATGGCAAAATATGGAGGGATTGTACACTGGAGGGGGGTGGGGGGGCGAGGGGACTGAGCTGGCGGCTGGTGGGGGGAGAGGGGACCGCAGGAAACCGTGCTGGGGGTGGGGGGGCAGGGTTGTAAGGAGACCACCATGGGGATGAAGGGGGATGGGTTGGTGACAGAATCCTTACCCTTGTGAGGTTGCATATCCTGAAAATCCGACTGATCACATCACAATCCATTGAACATGAAATGCATTCCACTTGGGTCGGCCCGTAACGGAGTGTCCCCTCTTCTGGCCAATACTGTGGACATCCCTGAAATGTCAGACATTTGTACAAAAGAAAATGATGAGAGGGCAAGCGCTCCGTGAGGTTACCCTATATAAATGCAAGTTGTTGTTGTACAGCAATAAAAGTTACAAAAGCAACCATGGGCCCAAACATATGAATTTCTTTCACCGTGACGAAAGGCAAGTGTAGTGGCCAGCATAAAACAGGCTTCCTGCCATACTGCACTCTTATGGGAGCAAAATATCAGATAAGTGTATATTACATAATATTGGCAAACAGCAGCCCACATTCCTTATTTGAGCACTTTGGTTTTTCCTCCTGACATGAAAAGCTCTATATCAAATGCAAGTATTATTATTATTAATATTCATTTGTCCTCCATCTGGAGACTGGAGTTAATCCCTTTCCTTCTCCTTACCTCCCAGCTCCACCTCCTTGGCCCTCTACTCAAGGACATCATAAGATAATTTTGAAAAGACTTACTGATTCTTTTGTTTCTTGATAATTTAAAATTCCTTGTGTTATTTTACAACTTTGCATCTAAAAAAAAACTCCTTGGTTTACGTTTTTTAAACACGCAAACAATATATGTGATACATAATCAGACCGATAGAAAACAGTGTAGGAGGTATGGTGCTTCAGATGAGATGTTAAACCCAGGTCTTGTTTGTCTGCTCAAGAACTCAAATCAATACGCCTCAGAAGACGAGAAATTTTTCTTCTCCCCGTCAGCTGTCTGAAGGTGACGTGGATGTTTGAAATTTAGTAACTGATGAAAATTAAAATTTCTGCACAATAATCTCAGGTTTGCTATTACTTTGATTTTGGGGGAATATTTTTAAAACATCACTGTTTTGACATTTGCATTTAATTTATATAACAACATTTCTTCTATTTCTAGTAGGTGGGCTGGAGGCTGGCTCCACTCAGACTGAAACCGATCTTCAAAAATCCCACAAGCTATTTGTTTTGAATATTACTCAAATTTCACAATAGTGTCCAGCCTCCGAGGACCGACTTGCTGACTATGATAACTTTTACAGGAATCTATGTGGGTGGAAAACACTTTGATAACTGTTAACTGTATCGCCATTAGATAATAACAGAGCAGAGTTTGATTTGTTACATCTGGCACTATCAACCACCCAAATAGCGAGTTTTGAATCAGCTCCAGACACAGTGCAGTTGTATTGGCAGTGCACTTGTGAACTAAATCTCTTTTCTCACCGAGATATTGTGTTTTGTTAGTTGCAGGTTCTCAAATCTTTCATAGCAATGGAATCAACCGGGAATTTTATTTGTTTTTTTTCCCCGTTGCTGTGTGGGGCTTTGACAGCAAAGGTAGTGCTGAGAGGCATTTAACCATCTATGAAAACTGAATTATGTTCTTAACCCTCTAAATGCAGAAACACCTCCCTTATTGTGAACAGTTAGACAGTAACCTAATTTTGTACCTAGATGAAGTACTGGACTTTGCTTGACTTCTAAAGTAAAAATAGATCCAGATAAATTAACATAATTATAGAATATTTCTGTATTTTTTGGGAAATTCCCTGTACCAACTTTGAATATTTTATTTTACCACATGCTCTTATCTACACCCACAGTGGTGTGTTTCTTTTTAAAAATATACACACATCAGATTTTAATGATCCCACAACTCTGTCTTATTTATTGTGTGGGATCCAAGACTGACAAAATTGGCACGACGAAAAGTGCTTAACTACAGGCGAACCACAAAAGCATTCCATATTTTTCTTTTTTGAATGCTTTACAAAACTCCTACTCAAGTTACATTTACAGATGAGAATCATTGTTAAGAGATTCATTGTCAACAGTAAATTTCATAAAATTGACATGTCGGGTGTTTAAATGTATACTCAAATTTCAATTATTCCTCCTAAAAAATATATTTGGTTGGTTATGTTCTGTGTTGTGTTTATGCGTGTTTTTGGTGGAATGATTGTTCCCAGTTCATATTTCCTTGATTGAAGCTAAAATAATCTCCTGTTGACCAGTGTCATTGCAAGAGATTGCAGTCACTTGGTTTCTTGCATAACTTAAAACACAGTAAATGAACACCACTGATCCAGAGTAACATCAGTAATGCTGTGACAGCAAGACATATTTTTAAAAATTTGCACAAAACAATTCCCAAAAAAGCAAGCTTTTTTAAATTTGCTTTTCCCCCCACCTTCACTTGTCATGCATAATCTCCAGCAGCTGAGAGGGCTGTCAGGTCAACTACCCATGATGTGTTGCAATGTTACAATTTCAGAGTAAAGGCAGGTTGCTAGGAGGTTTCACCTAACCCACAGATGCTGTCGAAAACGCGTATGATTCATAAAGCGACTTAAAGGTCCAGAGTTGGTATCTAAACTGCAAAATCAATCCAAAACCAAAATAAATGAATACCTAAATCACAAACCCAATCTAAAAACTACTCATTTATTGGAGTAAAAACTTGGTAAATTCACAAAACAAAAGAATCATCCAGTACAGAAGAAGGCCATTCGGCCCATGGTGTCTGTACCAGCTATCCAAATCAATTCTACTCGCCTGCTCTCTCCCCAGAGCCATGCAAACTTGTCCTCCCCAAATAATTATCGACTTCTCTTAAAAGTTGTTATCGAATCTGTTTCCACCATCCTTTTAAGCAATGCATTCCAGATCCGAACAACTTGCCGTGTGAAAACATTTCTCCTCACCTCCCCTCTGTTTCTTTTACCAACCATTTTAAATCGGTGCCCTCGGGTTACCGGCCCACCCGCCAGTGGATAAGATGAGAATAAATAGAAAGGAGGTACTAAAAAGGTTGATGGAGCTCAAGGTAGACAAGTCACCCAGTCCAGACGGGATGAACCCTAGGTTACTGAGGGAAGTAAGGGTGGAAATAGCAGAGGCTCTGGCCATAATCTTTCAATCCTCCTTGGACATTGGGGGGGTGGTGCCAGAGGACTGGAGGGTTGCAAATGTTACTCCCCTGTACAAAAAGTGGCAGAAGGATAAACCCGGGAACTACAGGCCAGTCAGCCTAACATCAGTGTTGGGGAAACTTCTAGAGACTATAATCTGGGACAAAATACATTTTCACTTAGGAAAATTTGGGTTAATAAAGGACAGCCAACATGGATTTGTTAAAGAGAAATCGTGTCTAACAATCTGATAGAGTTTTTTTGATGAAGTAACAGAGAGGATGAATGAAGATAGTGCAGTTGATGTAGTTTATATGGATTTTCAAAAGTCGTTTGATTAAGTGTGATAAGAAACTTGTAAGAAAAATAGAAGCCCATGGTATTAAAGGGACATTGGGACCACTGTCGTTTTTGATCTACATAAATGACCTGAACTTGGCTATAGGGAGGAGAATTTCCAAATTTGCAGATGATACTAAGCTAGGAAAAGTAGTAAACAGTGAGGAGGATAATAGCAGACTGCAAGAGGACATAGTCAGACTGGTAAAATGGGCAGACATGTGGCAGATGAAGTTTAATGTGGAGAAATGCGAAGTGATGCATTTTAGGATGAAGAATGAGGAGAGGCAATATAAGCTGATGGTACAATCTTAAAGGGGGTGAAGGAACAGAGAGACCTGGGGGTTCATATCTGAAGACAGATGCAAAGTACTCATTCAGTAAGTCTCCACAAGAAGATTTCCTCTTTGGTCCCTAATTGGCCCTATCCTACCTTTGACTAACCTTTTATTCTTTATATGCTTATAAAATACCTTAGGGTTCCCTTTTATGTCACCCGCTAATCTTTTCTCACACAATCTCTTTGCTCCTTTTGTTTCCTTTGCCAGTTCTCCTCTGTACTTTCTATATTATATTTGATTATCTTCTGTATTTTGGACCTGACATTTATCATAAGCCTCCTTTTTCTGTTTTATTTTAATTCCCAATCCCAAAGAAAACTCATTTACTGAATGTAAATAGTCAGGATCATGGCTCTTCTGATAGATCAGTGAAACAACATCACATTTTGGCTTTGTTACCAAGAATTGACAAGACATGGTCGCTACCTGTACAAGGTCCAGCTCATTCAGCATTACTATGGAAGTGCAGCCATAATCATAAACCAGCCTCCAGAAGTCTTTCACTGTATTTGGCAAAGGATGTTGAGTGACTATGAAGGCAGCCGGTTGTCTGTAGCTCTGCAAATAAACCAAGAACAAAAGTTTAAACACTATGACGCAGTTTTGTTCAATACATGCGGAGATAACCCAAATATACAAGTTATTTAAAGGTAAACGTAGTACAGGCTTTGCTCCTGCCCCCCCTCAGTCTTATAATAATAATAATCCTTGCATTTGATATAGCGCTTTTCACGTCAGGAGGACGTCCCAAAGCGCTTCACAGAACACACTGTAAAGTGAATTGACTGTATATTTGTGGGCGAACGCGGCAGCCAATTGCGCACAGCAATGTCCCACAAACAGTCGTAGATTGAAAATGACCAATTTAATTATTGTTTTTGGTTTTGGAGGGATTATTATTAGGCGTGTGGAGTAAGGAAACTTGCCCAAGGTTTCGCCCTGCCTGGGATTGAACTCAGGTCTCTCACTTGCAAAGCGAGTGCTCTAACCACTGAGCTACAGGACTCCACCTTGCATCAATAGGCAGCAGTCACAGCAAGCTTTTCCTGGCTCCCTCAAGATGTGATGAGTGGCTCAACGACAAATTACATTTGTACACCATCATTCACGTCGGGAGGGTAATCCAAAGTGCTGGACAATCAGGGATTTGGACCTGAGCAGGGGTTTGGGACCAGGAGGGGTGGAGGGCAGGGATGGTAGGGGTAAGACAGTGACCAATGGCATGGTCAACTCAGACACAACTCAACCACGTGCATTTCCTTACACCCCACTTGATGGATGTGCCTGACCTCTACCAAGCATTGCCCTTTTGCAACACAGTGGCACTTGGAATATCAATCCTGCATGACATGTTGCATTATCTAGCTACACTGAAATCAAGCTAACATTTCTCCCAATGGCTCACTGCTAAATGTTAACATGAAGCCAAACCATTCCCTTCCAGGACATCTCAAGTTCCATCCCTAGTCAGCACTAAGCTAATCTTAGCTCGACTGACAGCCAAGACACTGCAACTGACCTCAGCACCTTGGACAAGGGAGGTTAAAGATCCCTCCTGGGAAGAGCGCTTAGAAGCTAGGCCCAGGGGTTGACCATTCAAACCATCATTGGTGCTCCCTCATTTTATTAGATCACGGCTCAATCTGCAATTTAATATGAGTACCTCCCTGCCCTTTCACCATACTCGTTAATACCCCTGCCTACCAAATATTCATCTGCCTCCCTCTTAAATATTTCTGTTACCCCATCATCTACAAGCTTTTCAGGGAGTCAATTCCACACTTTTATAATCCTTTGTATGACAAAATATTTTCAGATTTCACCGTAAACTCTAATTTGAAGTTCATGTTCTGGATTCCACTGCCAGAAGAAATAGTTTCTATCTATCTGGTCAAATTGTTCAATGGGATAAAACTTATGTTTGCCAAACCTCTCTACATAAAACAATCACTTTGTACCTATTCTGTTGAACCTGACCCACACACCGTCCTAGGCAAGTTTATCTTTGCTGAGATGTGATGCCCAAAACTGAGCACAGTGCTCAAGATAAGGTCGGATCAGGGTTCTGCACAACTGAAGCATCAATTGTTTGCTTGAGATAAAGGCCAACATCCTGTTAGTTTTGATGGACAATAGTCAGATAGGAAATCAGATTTGGCTTGGATGCTCCTACAGTTAAATAATCTGCTGATGCTCATTTGGTTCACATATGAAGAAGGGCCACTTGGGCACTGTAGACGTTAGCCCAGCAAGACTCCATACATTCAGGAAAACAGGTGAAAACATTGTGTGTGTGTGTGTGGGGGGGGGGGGGAGGGTGGATAGAGAGTGAGAGAAAGAGTAAACCTCTCTAGACATAGATACAGTGTTCAAGTGAAACACTTACATCCATAAGAGCAGCGTTGATGTAATTGCTGCTTTCACCATCGATGGTAATTAAGAACGGCAGACATCGGTCAGGTGGCAGTGCCTCCATGTATCGGTTCTTCTCATGGTTCCTGGGAAGGAGAGCGATACTGCAGTCTTCAGGTTGTAGTTGAGAAGATACAGAATTTAATGTCTGTGAGCAAAATAAAGGGACATATTAGGAGCCACATGAGAGGTAGCACTACACTGAAAAATCAACACGTTCCACTTGTATATAGTAATAAAAATAATTCTTCCATTTGTTATAGGTACCTTTCACGGTGTGAGGAAGTCTCAAAGCACATCATAGGATTTACTGTAAATAATCCTTGCATTTAATATAAGCGCCTTATCATGTCTTCGAGACGTCTCAAAGTGCTTCACAGAATAAACTGAAAGTGAATTGACTGTATATGTTTAGGGTGAAACATGGCAGCTAATTGCGCACAGCAGTGTCCCACAAACAGTCATGGATTGAATAACGTTTTTTGGAAGGAATTATTACCCCCGGAAAAGCGATTTACCAATTGACTAAAAACTGGGTTCCTACTTACTGCTAGGTAAACAGAGGTGTGTGGAGTAAGGAAATCTACCCAACATTTTGCCCTGCCAGAAATCAAACCCAGGTCTCTCTCTTGCGAGGCAAGTGCTCTATCCATTAAGCTACAGGACTCCACATCCTGTAGCTCAGTGGTTAGAGGGCAATGACTGCAGTTTGTAGGTGAACTTATGATGTTTCATGTAGAATTGTTGTCTCAAAGCATTTCATGAGTTTGCAGATGTCAACCAAAGGCATGGTCAAAAAGATATATTTTAAGAAAGTCTGAAAATGGAGAGAGAAGATCCACGATGAAGGGATTTTGAGAGAGAGTTGCAGTGAGAGGGACATGTAGTGACTGAAGGTTTCATGCTGGGCACATCTACTGAACATTGTTGGAGAATAAAAACAGCAGGAAAAACAGCCCAAGATATTTGAATGAAATAAAATCCACCTTCTCCACAGACCACATCACTTCTTTTAAAATCATATCTATTTACAAACACATATACTGTTCCTATAAAATAATAGATACACACAATATAGTAAGTAATACTGTATTGTTTTCATTTTACACAAGCCCATTTACACACCATACTTACAATTATGTTCAGTTTCTGATTCAAAACTCACCTGTACGAAACTCCACACCCCCAATACCCTAGTCTTTGCCAGGCACCACTGGCTCCCTATAGCAGAACCGATCGATTTCAAGATCTTCACACTCACAATTCACTTCATGCCCTAGTACCTCCCTATCACTCCAACCTGCTAACACCCCACAATCCTCTACCCACCCCCGGCCGCCTACATGTCCTTCAAACTCTTTGTTCCACCATCAGCTGCCATACTTTCAGCCACTGCGCTCTAAACTCTGGAACTCTGACTCAATCCAGGACTTGAATTTTCGCTCAAAAAGAAAATGAGCAAATGAGCTGGTTGCACCTCAAAGAGGAAGAAGGAATGATTTCAGGTCACATTTCAGATGAATTCTGTGAAAATGCTATCTGAAAATGATTACTATGTAATTTGTTTTCATATTTCCAGGAAATATGAAAAAAAGTCATTCATTGATTTTATGAGACAGAGCCTTACAGTATACTTTATTTTTAAAATAATTGTATTCTGATTGCTTTGAAATGTTCAACATTAATATTTGATCAGTTCACCTTAACGAAATGTGTGACGAATTGAAAAGGATTATCAAAGAGCTCCCTGAAAAGGCATGTGGTGCAGTCAGAATATGATGGGAATGTGTGGTCAACAAGATAACTGACACCTATGCAAACCTATCACAGTGCTCAAGTCTCCAAATCAGATTACAGCAAAGCACAATTATAAAACAATTATTGGGATCCATAAAATATTGAGCCGTAATAACTGGCTTCCCCACATCTTAGCCCAGTCAGCAGACTCAATCCCTGACATTGGCCAGTGATGATAAAATGGTTGATTTCTGGGTGATCATCTTGTCGCTGAAGTAATTTCCTGCTGCAAGCATTCATGACGAGGCTTGAAGTGATCTTGGTGGCAACCTAATGAACTAGAAGTTGACTAGTTTAACCCAAAAGCCAGTCAGCACATGGACAATGATCAGACGGACGCAGTGAATGAAGTCCATATTAAATATGCATGCTGAAAAGAAGTGTTGTTATAGAGGCTGCACTGCATTACCAATTCCACGATAGCTTCTGTTTGAGCAATTAGGCATGTGTGCTTTTTCCCTTGGAAAAAGTGTTGGCAAAAAACAATTTTTTTGGATACCAAAGTTGCATTGGGGAACAGTTGGAGTTTATCCAGTTAAAATGCTGCTAAACAACCTTCTCCCCCAAACCGCGTTCCAAGCAGGATAGACACTATTTATTCATTTGACACCTGGCAAGCACAGGTTTGAGCCTCCATTAGGTTTCACCCATGTCACATGGTAAGCAATAGAATTTGGCATAAAATGCTATAAGCATTATCACCATCCTCCTACTCACTGTCCCCTACCAACTGAGCAATAGCTCCACCAGTTGGAAGTGTAGAGTTTTACCAGCAGTTGCTTATTTTTCGCACAACAGTCACTCAACTTTAAGTCCCAGATATATGAGCGTGTTTGGGAAGTTAAATGAAATGTTCCTGCACTGGTCCTACCAAACTTGGCATGCTCACATTGGTTAACACTTCCATCTCAGGGTGTCCGTTAACCTTGCTCACCTCAAGTCCTTCAAAGGCTGTTCAAAAAGGCAACACTTGAAGGAGGGAGAGTCAAGGAGTGGCTAACCAAATTCAATTCGCACTTTGTTGCAGCTGAATACAGGGAGGCACGGCTCGTGTTGCAAAATCTGCAGCCCACAACATCCTGCCCTTCTCTGAGAATCTGAATGTGTTGCTGAAAGAATGGTGTGTGCTGAAGTGAAACGTGTAAAGCTGCAACATGTCCCAACATTCGTTAGATAAAGTAACACAGGAATCATATAACCTTAGAAATTTACAGCAGAGAAGAACATTCAGCGTATCAGGTCTTCACTGGCGATAAAGTAATCTTTTCAGCAACAATGACAAATTGATTTGTAAAGCACCTTTTGAGTCAGGAGGAATCCCAAAGCGCTGGACCGTAGAGGATTTACACTTGTGCTGGGGGTTGGATTTGGGTAGTGGTGGGTAGAAGAGGTGGGAAGGTGATCGAAGATGTGGTTAAAGACAATAATAATATTATCTCACCCCCCAACATCGCCCGGCTCTGCTACTGACTCACACAGCAGGCCATCGAAACCCTCAAACACGCATTCATAACACCCAGACTTGACTATGCAAATTCCTTGCTTGTGGGCCTCCCCAACTCCTCCTTCCATAGGCTGCAGATCATCCAGAACTCTGCAGCCCATGTCCTCTTGCACCAGGCTCCGTGACCCAATCACCCCCATACTCGCCCGAGTCCACTGACATCCCATCACACAGAGGATACAGTTCAAGATCCTGGTCCTCACCTTCAAAGCCCTCCATCGCCTCGCTACTCCCTACCTCTGCGACCTCCCAACCCCCTACCAACCTGCCCGCTCGCTCTGGCCTGCTTCACATCCCCCACCCTGCCCGTCCCCCCATTGGCAGGCGGGCCTTCTGCCACTCTGCCCCCACCCTCTGGAACTCCATCCAACAGTCCCTCCACATTGCCCCCTCCCTTCAAGACCCATCTCAAGACTCTCCTCTTTGACCGTGCTTTTGATCACTCGCCTTCCCCCACTGTCCTCCACCCTCCCCAATCCCGACCCCCAGCTCGCGTCCGAAACATTGATTGTCCAGTGCCTTGGGATGTCCTCCCAATGTGAACAACGCTATACAAATGCAATTTTATTGTTGTTAATAATATTAATAATTCTAGATTTGATGTAGCGCCTTATCACGTCTTCGAAATGCCTCAAAGCGTTTCACAGAATATACTGTAAACAACAAAAACAAGAATACATTGGTATGGCGCCTTTCACGTCGGAAGGACGTCCCAAGGCACTGGACAGTGTACAACATTTCAAACCCGAGCTGGGGTCAGGGGGGAGAAGGGAGGGTAAGGGGGGTGGCCGATGGCACGGTCAAAGAGGAGGGTTTTGAGGTGGGACTTGAAGGAGGCTAAGGAGGGGGCGAGGCAGAGTGATTGGAGGTTGGAGTTCCAGAGGTTGGAGGCAGAGTGGCTGAAGGCTCTCCCGCCAATGGTGGGGTGGGTGGGTAGGGGGACGTGGAGCAGGCCGGAGTCGGCTGAGCGGAGGGAGCGGGCGGGTTGGTAGGGGGTTAAGAGGTCACAGAGATAGGGTAGGGCGAGACCATTGAGGGCTTTGTAGGTTAGGACCAGAATTTTGAACTGGATCCTCTGAAGGACAGAGAGCCAATGTAGTCGGGCGAGAATGGGGTCACGGAGTTTGGTGCAGGAGAGGACATGGGCTGCAGAGTTCTGGATTATCTGCAGCCTGTGGAGGGAGGAGTTGGGAAGGCTGACAAGCAGGGCATTTGCACAGTCGAGCCTGGAGGTAATGAAGGCATGAATAAGTGAATTGACTATATATTCAGCTATATATATGTGGGCGAAATGCGGCAGCCAATTGCACACAGCATTGTTCCACAAACAGTCGTGGATTTAATGACCAATTTTTTTTGAAGGAATCATTATCCCGGGAAAAGCAATTCACCAGTCGATTAAAAACCAGGTTCCTACTTACTGCTAGGTAAACAGAGGCGTGTGGAGTAAGGAAACTTGCCCAATATTTTGTCCTGACGGTAGCAAATCCAGGTCTCTCCTTGTGAGGCGAGTGCTCTAACCACTGAGCTATAGGCTCCACAGTTGAAGGTCTTGAGGCAGACTTTGAAAGAGGCAAGGGAAGGGAAAGGCGAAGGGACTCAATGATGGAGTTTCAGAGAGTGGGGGGCAAAAAGGCCGAGGGTCCAGTGGCCAATGGTGAGTGAGCAGGGCAGGGGACGTGAAGCAGGCCAGTGCCTGTCAGATGGAGGGAGTGGGCGGGTTGGTCAGATTTTTGAAGGTCACAGATGTACGGTGTGGAAAGGCTGTGGAGGAATTTAAAAGTGAGGACAAGGATCTTGAACTCAATCCTCTTGAGAATGGGGAGCCAATGCAGCTGGGCGAGGAAGAGGGTGATAGACTCACTGAGCCTTGTGTGGGAGAGGACAAGAGGTGCAGAGTTCTGGATGGTCTACAGCTTGTGGAGGCAAGAGTTTGGGAAGTCCGGTGAGCCAATAGTTGGTGTAGTGAAGCCTGGACACAATAAAAGCTTGGATAAGCAGCTCGGAAACCGAGAAGAGAGATCCTAGCAGAGGCAATGTTCAGTCCCATTTAGGCCCAAATCAGCACCATTTACTGGCCTTTTCCCCATAGCCCCCTGCAAATGACTCCTTTTTTAGTGTATATGTGATCCCCTCTTGAATGATACTATGTATTCATCCTCAACCACTACACTCAGAAACACATTCCACAACCTAAGAATTCTCTGCGTGTAAAAAATAATCAAGATGCACAGTACTTTAGTGTGCATCAAAAGGTGGTGGAGAAAAGTGAGCAAGTAACAATCCTTAAGTATACAAGGTCAGTAAACTCCAAATGAACAGCTTAATCCTTAAAGAATGCACTATTTTAAGGCTACATTTTTTGAATGCCTCAAAGCGAAAACCTTTTTTTGCTGCGTCCCTTTTGGAGTTTACGTCCCATGCGCACCCCACTCTTTCTAAGAAACAGTATTTTTGTATGGAACAAGAGGATTTTATTTTCCCAGCTCATATAACATATTGCTTAAGACAGAAAGCAACAAAACTAGCAGAGTACACCTATGCTACTACTGAATAAACCTGAACATAAAAGAACTTATCTGTCCACAATTTGAAAATCATGATATTTGAAAACCTTCCATGTCAGGAGAACATCCTTAAATGTTTCACAAGATATGCTGTAAAGTGTAGTGACTGGATATTTTGTAGGCAAAATACAGTTAAACTGATCAAGGTTAATAAAATGTACCTTTTCTGCAAGAAAGAGACTATACTTTCAAAATAAATTCTTGACAGTTATAAGGTCACAGACTTCAATCTCATTTCTTCTGTAATGAATGGATAAATATTTTATGCAGCAATATGTAACAATGTTAGAAAAACTCTACATTACACATCTCTCAACAAAGAAACATGTTCCTTGATCAGAGTAGAAATTCGACTGCAGTGGAATTCAGGATGATTAGAACATTACCCAATCTTTTGAGCTTGAATTAATAATGTTTGACTCTATAAACAATACAAGCCTACTTACATGAAATTCATCCTTGAACTGTGAAGAGTTGCTCTGTGAATCCACTCTCAGCATTTCATAATATGTAGGCTTGAACTCACACATGGGTATCGATGTCTCCCCGCACAAACAAGCTTCTAGTATAGCGTCGTGAATAAAAATGTACTGTTCCTTAAAAAAAATACATCCGTCAGTATAGTCTTCTCATTTTAAATGTCATTAAATGTTACTTTCATACGATGCTGACACGTCCACTGCAATTACATTTTATTTATAAGAGCATATGAATTTAGCTCTAGCACACAGATCTAAGATATCTAGCTCCTAGTATCACTTATTGCTATGCACTGTCATAAAAAGTTATGTTTCAAAGAGAATGCTTTTCCCACTGTCGTTTATTGTTTTGGCAAGATCATTAGCTGACTTATCTCCAGATGTCACACTGCTTGCTAAAAGACACAAAGAAAACCATAAAAGTCAACAAAGGAGGACTTGTTTGGAAAGCAGCAACTGTTTTTACTCATGATCATTTTCTGCATATTAATTAGTATGTTCCATCTGCTATATTCCGTCTGCGTGTCATCCACATACGCGGGGTAAACTTCCACATGTATGCGGATGACACGCAAATCTACTTCTTTTCCTTCAATTGTGTCTCCCAGTTTGCTGATGTTCCGTCAGCTGGTTAAGTTAAAACTCTGCCACCCGCATTCTCACCTGCACTAAACTCCATTACCCCAGTCCTTGTCAAACTCCATTGGCTCTCTGTCACAGAGAGGATTGATTTCAAGATGCTCATTCCTGTATATAAATCCCTTCAAACTCTGGCACCCCCCCCATCTCCAACCTACTCTCTCCCTCCACTCGCCTAGCTCTGGCCTTCCCCTCGTCTTCCGGAATCTCCACCCCACCATCAGCAGCCGTGCTTTCAGCCGCTATGCCCCGAAGCTGTGGAACTCTCTCCCTCAATCCCTTCGTCTTGCCCCCTTGTCTCCCCATTTTAGTTCATGCTTGAAGATCTTCCTCTTCGATCGTGCCTATGGTCACCTTCCCCCTGGCTTGGCATCGGCCTCCGCCACTGTTTAGCGCTTCAAGATGCCATCCAGCATGAAGGGCGTTAGATAAATGCAAGTTGTTTTTAAAAACAGGAAAATACACACACACACTTGTGCGTCCATGTAATATTGAACAGCAGCAAAATTGTAATACGTGTGAACGAATGGTTGCCAAGTAGCTCTGAAAAACCAATTTGACTATTCTAAGCAAATATCATCCAAAATACTGCATCGAATTTAATTTGATGTAGCATCCCAACCTTTCTGTAAAGTGAAGTACCTATTTATTAATAGGCGAAGGCAGCAGCTAATTTGCCTACAGAAATGTCCAACAAACAGCCATGAAATGAATGACAATTTTTATTGGGGGTTTGTTAGCCAGGACACCAGGAGAAGCTTCCTTCTCTTTTTGAACAGTGACATGGTTTCAACTACATTGGAAAGTCAGTCTAGGTTACGAGGTCAAAGTCCTTAAGTGGAGCTTGAACTCACAACCTTTCAAATCAAAGGTGAGACTGATCTCAGCTAACACCATCTTTTGAAAAATATTTTATACAAGAGTTATATGTAAGAGTGGAAAGCAATCTGGAAAGCGATCACCCAATCAACTAACAACTGGGTTCCTACTTATGCTAGGTAAACAGAGGCATGTGGCGTAAGGATACTTGCCTAAGGTTTCGCCCTAACAGTGGTTAGTTGGTTACTAGTCCATTCACAAATGCTTAACAAAGTTATCAGTCATAGCATTTGAGGCAAAATGCATGGGTTCATTCACAGGTACAGTTCAATGTTCTGAAGCAAATAGCCCTTTCAGACTAAGTGAAGCCAGCAGTCTCCCGTGGATCAGGAAAAATTAGATTAAAAAGTTGAGCTGTAACTCAATGTTATGAACTACAGCTGTCTCACAAATACAAAAAAGGCAGTTTATAAAAGTTATTGTGGGAAAAAGTTCAAATTTTATTGCACAATAAATAGATTGAGCAATTTGTTTCCACTTACTGCATAATTCAGAGCTGTATAAGGCTAGCATAGCAAATCGTCTATCCATTTGGGTTAACTTCAAACTGATTGTATTAACAGAATAAATGGACAGATGCCCCAGCTAACTGTACTTTCATTCATGCAATGCTGCCACCTCACCAATGGTGCAATGTGTCACTTCTAAACCATGAGAATACATGCTCTGTATTTCTGTATCTTTACTACTTTGAATGCATTTGAATCTTACCTCTGTCTGAACCATATTGATCCTTCTGGAGCGTAACGCTTTCACACAGTTATAGATGTCAACAACTCCTTCCCGTTCTGCCATGTCCAACATAATATCTATAACTATGTAGCAACCTGTTCTTCCCGCCCCGGCACTAAAAAGAGAGAAATAAGTATTATGTTTTCAGACACGAGTCAAAAGCACACATTTCTGAATTACTCTTAGCTCGGTACTAAGAGTTCAACCTAAGAACAAATGTCTTGCTCCTGGTTGAGTTAGATTGTTAAAGTTCATCCCCAACAACCTTCTCATCTTCCCCCCAGGTAAAGTCACTAATACTGAGCTGCAGCTCTACAGTCACAAGCCACATTGGTATCTTGCCTAAGAAACCATTGTTTATGTGTGAACTCAAGTGATGGGTGATTTAGGACTATGTGACCATGGAAGTTATCATAACTGAAGCCTGATCATGTCCGAGATCAACATGCAGAAGCACACACAAAGGATCACTAGATGGCAGTCAGGAAAAGGGAGCTTGGAACGAGACTTTGTTTCTCCAGGGTCACTGAGAACAATTATAGCACAGCCTGATGATCCAAGAGCTGGGTTCGTCTACTGGCTTTTTAACAACTTCAAAGAATTTTTCAAGGGGCCTTTTTTGATCAAAGGTCATATCACATCACACCATCTGCACTTACACTGCAGAGATGTAAACCGATGTCCTAATTTCTCTGGAGGTCTTGGCAGCCAGACTCCATCACAATTTATTTCATATTCTTCTCACCAAACTTATAGTGAAGTTTCTATGCCAATTTGGCATGATTTGGTAAGCCAAACAGTATAAATTGAGGATTGGGAACTTAAGTGTTTACCTTGCATTGAAGTGAGCAGAAAAATAAAACATGCAAATGAAAGTGTGCAGATGATCCTTGCTGCATAAACAGAACAATTAACGTTAGCAAAGAAAGGTTACAATGAAGAACCACTGACCTGCAGTGCACAACAACTGGCCCTGCTCCAGGAGGGTTTGACATTTTCACACGACGAATAAATGCCAGGAGGCCAGTTGCATGGTAAGGAACACCATGGTCAGGCCAGCCAGTGAAGTGAAACTGTTTAACTTCACGAATTTCCTCAAAACCTCGCTAAGAGAAAAAAAAAATGCTAAAATCAGTCCATACGATTCATTCATTTCAAACAGTCGGTTGGATTGAACCCCACATTATGACGATTTAAATAAAACTGACTGGAATACATACAAATGATGTAAACTCCAAAATATTTGATGTCCCTTGCATCTGCACATATTTTCAAATACTTGAAAACATTTCCAGTTTTCAAGTTGAAAACATTTCCAGTTTTCAAGTTGAAAACATTTCCAGTTTTCAAGTTGAAAACATTTCCAGTTTTCAAGTTGAAAACATTTCCAGTTTTCAAGTTGAAAACATTTCCAGTTTTCAAGTTGAAAACATTTCCAGTTTTCAAGTTGAAAACATTTCCAGTTTTCAAGTTGGAAACATTTCCAGTTTTCAAGTTGAAAACATTTCCAGTTTTCAAGTTGGAAACATTTCCAGTTTTCAAGTTGGAAACATTTCCAGTTTTCAAGTTGAAAACATTTCAAGTACTTATCTGTTTAATCATTTGGAGATAAAAGGTTAACCTGCTTGTGATCTGTAATGCACATCAGTTGTTTTCAATTAAGTGACTGCATGTACTATTGGGGTGTCATACAAAACTACAAACAAAGTTAATAACAACAAGATTACATTTGTATAGCACCTTTCACGTTGGGAGGACGTCCCAAGGCGCCAAAACACAGAGGTTGTGAGAACAAGCCAGAGGTTAACACCATATATTGTGCATTTTAAAGATAAGTTAATTTGTCTTGATTAACTGCTTGGTGCTCACTGGCTGTCAATTCATTTTCCTGTGTTCTAAAATACAAATGGCCACACCATATATTTTAGTGATAGATATTTTCACTTGTGTTGTGATTCTGATAGCAAAGAAAGACCACAAAGTGAACTCTAGCAGAATGCAGGTGTGTAAGTAAAATTTACTTTCACATTCCAAAAGACTTTCAGGTACTTTCTTTATATTAATGCTTGCACGAGATTCACAGAAGCAGCCCACACCCCCTACTATTCTAGAAGTGTAACCATTAGAAAATTATGCTTGAAGGCTTAGTTAAGGAAGGTCAGGAGGCTCATGTTGAGCATAAACACCGGCATAGACCAGTTGGGCCGAATGGCCTGTTTCTGTGCTGTATATTCCAATGTATTCTAGCGTATATGGATAATATGTGCCTTTGGAAGTAATGTGCCCATTATGGGTGCAACATGATCCGTATCTAATAACATTATTAAATATATCACCCAATCTTTACAGTAAGATGAAAGTCCATTATATCTGTAAAATCCTTAATTAACTTACAGAAAAAGGGTTCAAAATGACTAAGAATTTGACAAATGCTGGATGCTCTGAAATGGTACATTTATAGAATAAAGTGAGATTTGGTGAAATTTCTGCCTTTCATGTTAGAAGGATATCCCAATGTATTGCTTTTAGTAGGTTTTGAACGCAGGGAGAAAGTTAACAAGGCAATGTGAGTATGGAAGATTGTATCAGAGACAGGGTCAGTGTGATTGAAGGCTCAATAACCCAGGGATACTGATACCAATTGCAAAATCCAGAAATGCTGTCCCAGGAGAAATCTGCTCCACTTACCCTTTCTAATGTAAACGTTCGAACTACATATTCTGCAAGTGGCTCCACTTCCACAAATGTCACTTTGAAATCTCCATAAAGTTCAGTATCATCCGGCCAGTACTTGTAGCATTTGACCTAAAATTTGATAGATAAAAAGAATTGAAAATCTTAAAATTAGCAATCACTTTAAAACAATATTAACTGTGTTCAACGTCTTGGCATCAAATTTCACTGTACACTGGGGTACTGTTGGATCTAATGATATGAACAGTCGTGGGGCTACTTTGTTTTTCTCTTTTTCTTCAGATGATTTCCTAAACTCATCACAATGCTTAAGAGTATCCACACCAGACAGAGATCTACATATTCATGCCACCTAAATGGCAACCTCCTGTGTCTGGAATGGAGTGCATACTCTCTCCCTGGAGATAAGACATTTATTCGACAAAATAAACCATGAGGGAACATCAGTTTTTTTTAAAAAAAGCATAATTTGTTGATTTGCTTTTTCCCATTGAACACAATATTTTTTCTCCTATCAAAAAACTTACTCTTCCAACTTCCACCAGGTTTGTGACCATGACGATACATGCAGATTGTTCCTGCCAAGCCATTCTCCAGAAATCATATACAGTTTCGTGCACGGGCCCTAGAGGAGCAAGGATATGAGGTGTGAGAACAAAGTGAATAAGTGGTAACAGCAATGTTATTTGGCGCAACTTGTCACAACATTGACAATCTGTTTGCTTTTTATTTAAATAAACATGGAATCCTTTCTAAGAGTTTTGAAAAATCCAGATCATCATTTAGAATATAAGTTTCCCTCTTTCTCTTCCCCCTCTTTTTTTTGGTAAGCCGGGTGTATGACACTTGCGAAAACCCTTCACCATGCTTAAAAAGTATCCAAACCGAACTGGGAGTTTCATGCATCCCACCTATACATTGAACTTCAAAAAATACTTATTCGAATGGAATGCTTGCTTTCTCCCAGTAGGGACACATCCTGTGGCCTAAGTCCGGAAAGTATTAGGCAAAGACTGGCAAGACTTGGGAACCGCATAGTGTGCGTTGGGGTACTGCTGGAGTCTAACCAGCTAAACCACATAGCTGGCTATTGAGAACACTGTCTGGCAAGCATTTCCAGCCAAGACCACCCAACCCATTGGGGCTTTAGCTTGCAGGAGTTGAGTGGGATGATTCCCTGCCCCCAGTGACTGATCTGCACTTCCAAATCCTGCTGATGAGCCAATCCGCCCGGCTCAGGAACTGGAATACAGAATCCACCACAAAGGGCTGGTTCGATTCTGACAGTCCGTGCCAGTTCACCTCCAAGGTGACTCTGTTTACAGACCCACCTCTCCATCTCCCGCAGGGAATAATCACAAGTTGGGCGTTTGACATCTGACAAGCCCAGGATGTCAAACACCCACCGAGTGACTATTCTCTTATCCTCTCTTCCCCCTCCAAACAAGATTTTTCAATAATTCTTTTACGTTCACCACATATTCCGAGAACCGAAGAGCAGGCTCACATCAGTGCTGCCATCAGGTTGATAAATCCCCGAAATGCTTCAATTGCTGAAAGCTATTTCAGCTCTTGTCTGATGAAGTGTGCAATTATCATGAATTGTTTCTGCTCATGTGTAAAATCTGTTGGGTTCTGATATAGCCAAGGCTTGAAATGGAGGTGAGATATGCCAAGCTAAAATTGTTTGTAAAAAATGTTTCCTGTAACTGCTCCCTCTTGCACTTGGACCACATTAACGCCTGATACATATTGCACACGGACAAGAAATACTGCAATGGTAATTTTACAAATTGACAGAAAATCAATTAATATTTTTGTATTATTTACTTTTAGAAACACTTCAAATTCCTTAAACTAAATATGCGTTAATCAAAAGAGAGAGATTTTAATTATTCCAAAAAAAGAGGTAAGCATCAACTGAACCTGAAACTTGAGCAGATTAGAAATCCGAATATGTCAATTTATTGCAGGGTTCTTATGAACGTTTACCAACTGCTTATAAAGGTCATTCATCATTCCCCTCCCCCACCCACCAAGCCACTTTGGGTCATTTTAATAGAGTTTATTAAAGGTCCCCTAGATAAAAAGAACTGGAGAAACCCTTCCCCAGCCCGCTAAATTTTAGTTAGTTATTGGTGGTATGTCAACCTGAGCTGGGCAATAGTTCAAAGCATGACACTAGACATTCCAGACAGTGAATCTGGGAATTACAGCAAACTACAGTGGTTCCCATTATAATACGATGGTTGAGATCCATAAAATCCCAACTTGTGCTATATAGAGGCACCGTTAACTGGTTTCACTGTTCATGTGTGCGGTTGGCAGGTTTGCTCCCTGCACGCCAATCAGTTCACATCAGAAGGACATTTCAAGTTCTTCACAAGATTTACTTTAAAGTGTAGTGACCACGTGATTTGTAGGTGAACCCAGTAGTACATTTGTGGCCAGCAATATTCCATGGTCAGGAAATAAATGGTCAACCTCCCTTCTCTTTTTGAATAATGCCATGGGATCATTAACATCCAATTGAACAGGTAGACAGGATCTTGTTTAAATGCCTCATCTGAAAGATGGCACCTCCGACAATGCATTACACCTCCAGGACTGTTTTAGAGTGTCAGTTTTTGAAAGTAAATTCAAAAATCGAGTATGGGGCTTGAAGCCAGTACTTCCTGACTCAGAGGCAAGAGTGCTACCAACTGAGCCAGGCTGGAACATGCTCAAATGAACAAGAAGCAAGAGGGTTTATTTTAGTAAACGGAGGCGATAGACATGTAGAAAAACTACTTATATGCACAGATTGTACAAGAAACAACGAACCAGAAAAGGTTTTAGAAACTAAAGAGATTCAGACTCGGTCACAACAAATTTACATTTATATAGAGATTTTCATGTCAGGATGACATCCCAAAGCACTGAAGTCGTTACATTTAGATATACAGATACATTGAAAACATCATGTTGGAATTTGGATGCATAGACTAGATGCATTGATGAATCTTTTCCTGCCTGAAAGTGTTACTATTACGTTATGTTAAGGCATTTGGTCTTTTCAATTTACAAAAAAAGACTGACATGCATTGTGAAACACTCGTTGCTCAAAAGCAGTAAAGGTGAATTTCCATTATATTTCAAACCTCTAAAAATAAGAACCTACAGTTGTCATATAAATAAATCAAAAATGATCAATTGTTAATAATAATAATCATCCTTCAATTTGACAGAGCTCCTCTATAAAGTCAAAAAAATTCACAGGTGTGGTGCCTACATATTTGTAGGCAAACAATTGTTGCAAACAATTATAGAGTTACTTGAATTTTGCTATCATTCATATCAAAGAGTTGACACAAAGGTTATATTTTATCCTAATTATTACTAGGTTCATAGTTTAAATTCAGAGGTGCCAGAATAAATGGCTTTTGTAGTAATTTATACAATATAATTTAGGATTGCAACATTACATTACACATAATGAAAATGAGTTATTCAAGTTATAGCTAGTCAAAGAAATAACTCTTACCTTGTGTAGCTATGTAATGGCTTGGTCTGTGATAGCCCTATAAATGATACAAAGCTTTGTAAGTCCACATCATCTGCATTACTGCCAATGATCAAATCAATTCAACCTGGAGACATTTACAACTTGTACTGTTAAACTTCACTGATCCACCTACAACCTCCAAACTTCTGCTGTCAAGTGAAAACCTGCTCTCCAATGTCCAATGAGTTTCAGCACATTTGCCTTGCTGTACAATGACTAAAAGGGCCATTACTACCTTGGAGTCTAATTAATCAGGAACTGTTTAGCAACTGGGAGGGATCAATTTGTTTCAATTAACAGATTGCTTAAAGCACTGATGCAAGATGATGCCCAGGTCTACAAATTTATTTCCCTGCTTTAACACCCACTGTATTAAAATAAAATGACACGTTAGTAACTAGAGGACCTATACACTTTGGTATTCAAACTCTCTCTATAGGAAATATTAACAGAGGGCTTCTACCCAGACGTCTGTCCAGATTATAGCCAAAGAAGCTGTGACCAATTTACATTAATGAGGCCATGTTTCCCAGGCTATAAAGTGTTAACCCTTTTGTCTCCATCATATCAAATTAAAAAAGTTATACCGAAGTGAAACAATGTTTTGTTAGAAGACGAAAAACCCAGTAAGGTAAAAGGATCACACATCAAAACTGAATAACTATTGCAAAGCCAGAAAATTTTAAATATATAAGAAGATTTGAATAATAAAATTGCAGTTACTTTATAGGGGAGGGAAAGGAATAGAGAAAGATTATGGTGCATTAAATTCCTAGTCTAAAATATGATCCAACATTTAAATAAAACATGAACCTGACATTTGTTTTAGGATATTGAAAGGGATATATTTTTAAAAAAAGTAATGTGTAATTTTAATCAGCATGATCCAAATATAATCTTGGCTATTCTACACACGTCTGCCTTCCAGGATTTCAGAAGACATTATGCTGAGTCAAATGACACACACTATGGAAAATGCTGCTGGGTGGGAAGCATTAAAAAATGAATGGAGCATAAAAAATTTAATGTGGTGAATAGTTCCAATTCAAAAATTAACTATGTTGAATAAAATCTTTTGGAACCCTTTCTTAGACATTTCTCTTGCAAATGGGATAGGAGTGCCAGCACTAAATTAAAAACTGGCACTTTTATTGCCAAGCATCAATAAGCCACAGCTTTGCTGTATGCAACTTGCCCGTTTTTCACTTTTTCCGTGTATCCTACAGGCAAGGATCGAATCTTAAACTGACTGGGGATTTCAAGTGAATGAAACTCTTTGCATGTATAATAGCAAGTCACTTCAAATTTATTTTCTGCTAAAATTACTGCCAACAACTGCAAGATTATGAACCAAAAGCTCATCTCGAGTACTCAGAAAGGAACAATTACGTGCTCTTCAGTGATCATAAGCGATCAAGACTTGGTGCGACAAATGTAAAGGTTGAGGTTCAATACTTGCACTGCTGGGCTGAACCCAGCAGTGGTGCTGAGGGAGCCACCGGGCAGAGGTCAGTCACTTCCTCATGAGTGAGAGGGAAAATAATAGGCAGTATTCACGAAGGAATGAGCCTCACTCATTCAGCACTAAATTATGTGTGGTCCAGCAAGGCTGAGGACAAAAGATGCCCAATTTTTTAAAAAAAATGTCAATCTTTCTTCCATATTCACTGAAGAAATTTGTAGTGGGACTTACTCATTTCTAAATTATGGATAGTTGTTGATTCAGATTTCACGATTGACAGGCTGGAGTTTGAGTAAACATTCAAATATAAATAATACTTATAGACAAAAACAATGCTAGAGAAAGCTGCATGAATCATTTAAAACATAATAAATTTTGCAATGCAAACTGAAAGGATAATGCTCAAAAATGCTATATGAAAATTTTTTTTTCAATGGTTGCACACCATTTGCTATGATAAATATCACATGGACCACAAATTACATCCTATTTTAAACCTCTCTAATTTAGCAACCAAGATTCTCATGTCTGAAACAAGCCACTCATTGAATTTAGTGCAAAAACTGACTTTTTAAAAAGATACTTGGATTTGAGTATGAACTTGATATTCAAGGAATTACATAGAATGCTACAGCAGGCAATTCAGACCAACCAAACCACACTGGTATTTATACTCCATATGAGCTTCCACCCCTCCTAATCTCCTCTCCAATATACCTCAATTCCCCTTCCTCTCACAAAAGTTTCAGTATGCATTCAGGTACCAATTTGACATTCAGGTACAAAAGACTACAACTAAAAGAGGATAAAAAAAATGTTTATCCAATATGGATTTGGACCTGCATCAAAGTGCTGAAAAGTACAATATTCAAAACAACATCCCCCAGCTGTAAGCCATGTTTTAGGATGACAAGTTGGCATCCTAATGTGCTCTTTCCTTTCAGCAACTGGAAAGAGGGACAAAGTGATCACGTTTTATTCAATTTAGTTAATTTTTTAATTTTATGATTCTTTAATAAAATGATTTCAGTTATCTTTTGAGACGACAAGTTACAGTGAGCCTAGCTGACTTTGACAACAAAACATAGTGGCATTGTACTGTTGTAAAATTTACATGAATGATTCAGAGCGATATTCTGTTGTCCATTAATGACCAATAGATTCAGATATGACGTTTAATGGGGAGGGAAAGGCAGCGGTTCTAACATGAAGTAAACTGTTTTCACTGAATCCGGTATTTTGCTCACATAACATTTTTCTACAAAATCATGTGTTACGCAGTGGAATGCAGAGGGAGCTGAAGCAATAAAGAAAACAAAAATAATACATTTTCTATTGAAATTACTGTGCTTTTCATCGAGCATGGTTTCTCATGCACAAATCCATTGAAGGATTTTTTCAGGTCAAGAAAGCATGAAGCCATTTCGTATAAAACAAGAGTTTTGTAGCAATACTGTGCAAAAAACACACAGTAATGATTATCTATATGCACTTACAAGTCTGCCTATTAGTGCTACCTTCTCAAATTATAAATAGATTTCAATTTAGGTTCACAAGGGTCACAAGATAGGATACTGTGCTTTTTATAATAGCTAATGATCTAATTGATAGGAATTGAGTATACTGAAAGGTTACCAAAGACCTGAAAATATTAAAACACAGGTATTAACTTCATTTAAATTCTAAATTCTAAATGTAATACAGCTACACAAGACGTATGAATGATGAATAATTAATCATGCATGATTACACCTCTTCATTCTCTTCATAACATGTTCATTTTGCCATGGCTTATTGGCATTGCTAGTCACATTCAAGGAAACATTTCACAACTTCAATTCTCCGAATTTTAAGCGACTAAACATGCTGGTGGTAAAATGACACTGCAGTTGGTGATAAACGAGATGTATAGTCCCTCTTAAATCTAATGTACTACAGAATTGATTTTGCATATTAAGAAATCCATGCCGAATATAAACCAATTGTTTTTTTAATTCAGCAGAAATATGTACTTTTACACTGTGGTCTTTTTTCCACATCAGCACGTTATTGTACATTATAACACCCAGGAAACATGCAGATTTGTACTTCTTATGAGACTCTGTGTGGCCAATTTAATTTATTTTATGAGGAGAATAAAGTGGTTATACTCAGTTATTTTCATGGGTGCTGATTGTTTTAGTAACATATTGGTATCTAAAATGAACTAGTATATAAAACTGATAAATAAAACACAACTCTAGCTTTTTCACAGTGATACTTACATCCCTGTACAGCCATATCTACAGCCCAAACCAAAGCCAGATGTGAAAGAAAGCACAACAGTGTCAGTGAGTGCTAGCAAATCTAATTCACAAGGTGCACATTTTAAGAGTTGCAATTTTTCTTTTAGACAAAACACAGAAAAAGAGTTTTAAATGCAAAAGTATATTTTTAGGAAATGTATCTTAAACACTTACATCAATATAATTTGCATTTATGTAATCAGATGTTGGATCATCTTCTAGTGGCTGCAAAATAACTCTGGAATGGTCATCTGAAACAAACAAAAGGAACCATTTATTTCTGTCTCATTTAATTTAGAAATGTGCAACAATCCATGCTCATGATCCAATTTATTCAAAATGTAAAGTGAAGAATCTCCTGTCTTTCTCTCTCTCCTTTCAAATTAATCAACATAAATGTTAAAGTCATGATCAACTAAAGACCAAATTTTAATCTAATTTAAAAAGTAATTTTGAGCTTTTCGATTGCTCAGCAAGTTTATGTAGTGAGCAGCTGAGCCATACAAACAAGTTGAGTCCCTGGTCTGATCGAGAATTTGTGCTGACTTGGCTCATCTCAGCCAGTACACCAGCTACAGTTGGCAATCTGCACAGCCAAGTTAGGAAGAGGAAACAGACACTGAGTTCCAGCTCCTGATGAGTTTCCAGAAATCCCAAATAGAGAGTGGGAGAAAGAGAGGGAGACTGTGTATATGTGGGGAAACAAGCTTAGTTTATAAAGCATTCCATGGATTATGATCACTTGTGCGAGGTTGGGCATGTGGAACTACATATTCGCTCACAAAACGCAGGCACTACACTTTACAGTGTATCCTGCAAAGTGCTATAGGACATCCTCCTGACATGAAAGGTACTATACCAAATATAAATCAATTTACTGTAGAAGTAATGCTACACATTTGCCTTATTTCTTTTGTTATTTCTTTTAATATGGAAGTACAGTTGTCATAATGTAAGAGTGAATAGTGATACATTATTTCCACTGGTTAGTAACCAAAACGCAACCATTTCAGATAATCACAAAAGAAAACAAAAGATTTGAAATAAATTGTAGGAAAGTGGAATTATCTACCACAAACCATAGTTGGAAGAGAATCCATAGATGCTTTTGAAAGGGAATTAGATTGCTGATTGAAAAAGAGGAACAATAAATGGTTTTGTTATGTGGGATTAGACTAGGCAGCTCATATGGAGAAAACACCAACACAGACTCGATTGGCAGATGGGTGCTGTGCTGTGACGTTCTCTGAATCTCTTTGAAATGCAGACTATAAACGCTTTTCCTTGTAGGATATGCCATTCCCCTCCAACAACCCACTTCATGATTTGTTGCAGAAAAGGCACATTAAAGCTGTTTTCAACATATCAGAGGTCAGTTTTTAATTTGATCCAATAAGAGACAAAAAGTTAGATTTACTGGAAAATTTAGGAAAGAAAATATAGTCAGTGAATACAACAACAACATACTGTGGAAAACAATCACTCTCATTAATAATCATGCATTGCCGTGCATCTGATACAAATGCAAATTATGAAGACTGGACATTCATCTTGTGAGGTGCCAGCTTTATATATATATTCAGTTACGAGGATTTCCTTTTAAGTCATCACAAACGGCATACAAATTATTTTCTAAATATGAAATTTAAATGTTGAATGGAATATTGCATGCTTATACATTTCTCTCTGGAGAAATCATGCAGACTAAACTCAGGATCAAACAGTGATCATTACTCATAAATGTCTTAATATTAACAACAACTTGTATTTATATAGCTCCCTTCATGCTGGACGGTATCTCAGTGCACTTGTGCATACATCACGTACACCACATGTAATGAAAACAGTTTACAGCCAATGACAACAGTTTATAAATTATAGCCCTTAGCTGCTTACATGTCCACTTACAAGCTATGATATTTCCATAGCGATTTTTGGTTCTGTTCTGATCTTGCTTAGCAATGTCCCACGATGCAGACTGACCTTCAAAGAAGCTCTGCAAAAAATGAATAGTTTTTGTTAAAAGACCAATTCAAACTTGTTCACTTATCATTTTGCATCAAATCTTCCATTTGCAATCTCCTGTCTATTTGTTAGACCACATCAATTACAGCAATTGCATAATCTCATCAATACATTAAGTGATTATGAAATGTTACATTATGACTGGAATGGAAAATAGTTCTTATGATAAAATATCAGCTTAGACTGTTTGTGGCTCAAGTGAATGCTCATTGTTTTTATATATACTGCTTAGCAACTTTATATCTATGCTGTGTTTCAGACACAAAGAGATAGCAAATTACCAATGTAAGAGCCCAGTTGTGCATTCAAGATGAATGCTTGAAATAGTCCAAACAATCTAAGAATATAACAACTAATGGTATCAAACTGGTACATCTAAGTATGATATAAACCCGTGGGTGTTGACTGAAATAACTACTCACTTCTGCCAAATTGATTATCATGTTATTTGATATGAAGCAGTTTTACCAATTCATTGAATGAATGGTCTTTGAGATCTTGTCACTGGCACCTCACAAAATAGCTGAAGTTTACAAGCTTGTACAAGATTTACAATAGAATAACTAACTAGTTTTAGACAATTAGGTCTTACTTGTATAAACACGTGCAATCTGAACAGTTGTGACAGATGCTCATTTCCATAATGAACCTAGGTCAACTCAAGGACAGCATGGTTCATGAGGTCACCTTGATATTTATTTCACTTTACTATGAGTGGACAGACAACATGCTCTTGAAGGCTATAGATTAACACTCATTTGCATAATAACCAGATAAAACCCACAACAATAAATTGGTCACTTTAATCCACGAGTGTTTGTGGGCCACAGCTGTGCGCAATTGGCTGCTGCATTTTGCCCACAAATGTAGAGGCAATTCAGTTTACAGTATATTCTGTGAAGCGCTTTGAGATGTCTAGAAGACGTGAAAAGCGCTGTATCAAAGGCAAGGATTATTATTTATTTATAACGATCTTTATGTTTACATGTGTTTGGTAAGGTAGTCTTCTTGAAACAAGGAAAATACCAACAATACTTGTAGATTATTTTTCCCATTTACCCTGCCCCATCTACCTTATCAATTGGTATGGTGTGAGTGAGCTAAGTTGAGGTTGATTGCTGTCTACTCTGCAGTGCATATTGACTGTTCTGGATGCAAGCTACCTCTCCATCTCTGTCCCCCTCTTACACGTTTCACTCATTTCCCCAACTCTCTGACTGTCTTTTGTAATCTCCTCATGCTGCCCTATCCTTTTCCTGATTTATCTCACCTTGCCTGTTTTAGACTCCTACCTATCCATCACTGCTCCCTCCCTCTCACTTCCATTCTGTCGCTATCCCAGCTATTCCATTGTGGGTGAACTTCCACATTGACATCCTCTGCCATGTACACCTCTTAGAGCAGCTTCATTTTTCTTTACTGTCTCAAGGCCCACCTCTTCACAGTGCATCTCTCCAAATGCAGTGTGCCCCCAGGTTCTTTCATGTGAAAGGTGGTACAGTAATGCAAGTATTTAGGGTTATTTAAGAGTGCCTGTTATTTTCTCCTTACACATATATTTACACATGGTTAGCAGAACAGACAACTTAAACCCCAATATCTACACCTGTCAGAATATATATGTTGTTACAGTATACAGCATTCTGTTATTTTATATACTAATGTGAGCAACATTCTATTTCACAAGTCTATGATGCAATTTAAAATAAAATAAAATAAATAAAGATAAAAGGTAGAAGGGGGAGAAGGAAGATAAACTCTGCAGTCATTTCAGAGTGTTTTCCTTTAAAAGGCTGATGGATTGTTCAAGTCAATGTGCAAGATCCGATACAAGATTATTATTTGCATGTATCCCTCATATCAAGTGTTAGTAGCGCTATTTAGAAAATTTGCTTGAGCAAACAGGAAATTGCACAGAAACAATAGATATCTACGGGAAGTATGGTCAGTAAAATGACTGCTGACAGCACAGTGTTACATTATTTCAAACAGTTCCAAGGCTGAGGTTTTAACATGTTAACATGCTGAACAAATTTTTTGAAGTGGTAATATAGCAAAGAAACCAATATGTTTTACTGCAGTACTCAAAACACAGCCTATACTGACTCCATACCTGTGACTGTGGAAGAGATCTTTGTTATTCTGTATCATAAAATCAGATAGACCATTTTATAGAAAGGTTGCTTAAAATAATTAGAGTAGTTAGCACCATATTAAAGTGAATCCCCTTCCTTAATTTATAAACGCAACTTTTTTTTAAAAGTTTAAAAGGCTGGGTAGGACAAGACTGCCTGGACTGCCTATAAATTAAAATAATTGAATGCATTTCACCGTTAATAAAGAGCATCACAACTGTTAAGACTTTTTGAAGATAGGATGTACTGTAAAACCTCAAAAGATCATACTTCAAATGACACTAACTATGCAGTCTTTGGGCTGTTCATTCTCAGTCCTTGAGTTTTATGGATTGGTAATAGTGAAGAAAGTATTGCATTTATATGCAGAGCATCAAAAGAAGTATAGACTATTGGCTGATTGCAGAAGAACCTCAGCCTTCTATCGGCTGTGCAAGGTCATTCAGCACGGAAGAAAATGAGACATGAATCAACTATCAATGTCATGCCCAGAACCAATATGACATTTTCACAAACATTCCTGAAGTTCTGTGCACTGTTATTCCTCATTTGCATTGTATTTACCCTTCCATCTACGTCACACTAGCATGCAAATGCATCAAACACCAAACAGGATAACATGGTCTAAATTAAAGATAACGGAAAACAAAATGCTATTTAAAAAAGCACTGAATATTAACAGAATGGTTTGTGTCATGTACAAATACGCTGCCATGAGAGTGAAGCTGTAAATCAACCTCTGTGTGCTATTAGCATTCATGAAGCGCTCAAATATCGTTCTTCAGCTATTTATCACCAGAGAAACTGCTTGATTGAAAAGACAACCTTGTAACTGTCTCGCCCTTTTTGGAGGTGGGAAAGAAACAGTGTCAATCTTTACCATTATATTACCAAGCTTCTCATTCAAGCTCTGAGAAATGACATTTTTTCATCAAGGAATATATTTAGCTACAGAGCCAACTTTAACCTCAGCCACGGTCTGACATGACCATGAAACATCCCTGATTGGACACTTGCTACAGAGTAGCATTGCTTGGAGAAAGGAGAAATGATTTGTATTTCATACAGAATGTTATATCAGACACAGAATTAAATATTGCTGGAAACAGGAGTTCAAATTGACCTGAACACATGTCATGAGATCACATGAAGTTGATGAAAGCCCTTTGGCCCATTTGATGCAGAATCTGTTTCATAAATAAGTCCATTGTTCTGACTTCCAACATCCTCCTGGTAACTTGTCCTGCTCCTGAGCACCCTCTACAGAAAGAAACCCTCCCCAGCGTCTGCCTTAAAATTGTCCTTCACAACTCTGAACTTGTGCTTGGCTTATGTAGGCCACATGTAAAAAGCTCAGTTTTAAGGTTGTGCTTGACTTATGTAGGCCACATGTAAAAAGCTCAGTTTTAAGGTAATGCTGGATCTCAGTGACTTTTTATTCATGAACAAATTTTACAAAATACATACCTCATATTCCTCTTTAAAACCATAACCTTCTGATGTCTTCATCAAGTTAATGTGCTGCAGCAGGTCTGCGACACGGATAGCAGGATGCAGTTGACCGGTTTGATACGGAGACTCTGTGGGGTCACAGTGATATCGGGGAACATCCAAAAGTCGGCTGGACTCTGCTACCACGGTATGGTTTTCATCTTGAATGAAGAAAATAATAATTGCCATTTAATTACGTGCAACACTTCTCAATACTACACGATCGGAGTCTGGAGGCACATCACGAACAGGTGTAACTTGAGGTGGGCGGAATCTGCAATACACTGCGTGGTTGTAAAAGTGAGTGCAGCATCAGGTACAAAGCATCATTTTTGAACAAGGTGTAGTACCTATAACCTTACTCTTCAAAATACAAATCAGAGTTGCAATACTTACCAGCAATAGGCACTGCAGACCAACAGATGGAGCAGTAAGAAACACAGATAAGTAAGTTTAGAGTGACATATTCCAAACACACCCACATTACCAAAATAACTGTTTAATGTAACCCGATTATACATTTTTACTTTGAATTCACCTTTTTTTTTAAAAAAAAGACCAAATCTAAACAAAATTGTTGCCTCGGGTTGATCCAAGGATCACTTCGCAATGAAATGGATGGTATCTGTAGGTTGCCTTGGGACTTCCTCCCGACGTGAAAGGCACTATGCAAATGTAATTTTGTTGTTGTTGTTGTTGCAACATTGCAATCTAAAACATAATCAAGGCTCCAGAGTACTGCAGCAGTGAAGATCAAGTGGTTTAGAACAGTCATCTGAAGAGGATTAGAATCCTGCAGCACAACTTTGTGAGACTTGGTTTTACTTATTTTATGACAATTTCTAAGATTTATTTCTTTATTGCAGCCGCACTGGACTAGTGAGAGCTGACAGTGTACATTATTGTTCTTGCTCTATAATGTATTCAGAAAAGACCAATACTTTGTTGCATTAAAAGAGCATTAACAATTGAAGTCTTAAATGATAAATATTGTTAAGACATCGCATGCAATGCACAATCATGCGTAGCATACAGTTCCATCACAAAACACGAGTAACAGTACTTGCAAATTATCAAATAACCTATTTCAGCAAAAATAGAATTAAATGCTGCTTCTAATAATTACTCTTCATTCTCTATGAAACAACTATTATGTCATTATTGGTTAACATTACTCTCAACCATTCCATCAATAACAATTGAAAATAAATTGCTGAGGGTAAGAATCGTTTCAAGAGGGAATCACTTGCACCATTGAACCAAAGGGTTCACAGGCCAGTTTGACAGAAGTGTCAACAAATAAGAGTTAATTTAGCAAAACATTTGTTATTTATCACATCAAATCTCCTTGTATGTCTGATGGAGATTTCTCCCCTCGGACACAGTGCTCAATGGTGATGCCCATGAAGCCAAGTCTTCTTTGGATCCCTGGCTCACGTTATGGCATTTGACTGGCTACTCTCGCGTTATCTCACTAAATGACAGTCAAATACCAAAATCCAGAAGTTCAATAGCATTGCTTCACAATGTAGCCAGTGAGAACATCGTGGTGAGGGGGAGTTCACATCCAACAAATCTTGGGGACATTTGAAGTGAAATCAAATGTATCACTATATTGACCCCATTTTCCATGTATTTTACACTTCAATGATGCCTATTTCCCATGGTTCTGCATGATCGCACTGGCTTAAAAATCTCATCACTACTGCCACCTTATCACAGTAAATGAAAGATGCCATGAAATCTTTGGTGCTATTCAATTAAAATAGGGGAATGCTGCTGCAATCCATTCTAATTGGATTTTATGTAGAAAATTCTTAAAAACAGATAGGGCAATCCTGTCCCCAGAGAAAAATAAAGCAAACTCAGCAAAGCTAGCTGACCCGCATATTGTATTTCAGTGCTGAGATTTTTAAATATTTAAATTTTTTTCAACTTTAATAAGACTTGTCTTGGAATTGATTATTCGTGCAAGAGCTGTAACAGGTTATTTTGTTTATTAGATTTTCTGCCTTAAGCTAAGGTAAAAGCTCTGTGACAGAAGCTCTGCATTATATGTGTTCAGCTGTTTGAATGAGCATGGCAAGCTAAAATAGTTATAATCTTGCTATTTATAATCTTGCGCTTCACCCACGAAAAAAACAATCAATTCACTCTACAGTATATTCTGTGAAGCACTTTGAGGTGTCTAGAAGAGTTGATAAGCCACTATATCAAATGCAAGGATTATTATTCTTAAGGAAAGCTTTCTTAAAAAGTAAAGGATTGGATTAAGCATCAATGGAAATTCCCAGGATCAAAATCCAGGTTTTTCCAACAGCCTTTATATTGTGTGTGTGTGTGTGTGTGTGCGTGTGTGTGTATGGAGTGGGGGGGGGGAGATGCGAGTCTACATAAATGAGTAGGTTGCAGCAGTCTTGTATTAAGTACATGCTGGTTGAGCCAAGTTGTTTATGGAGTCCTGATTCAAAACATTGTAGATGGAAAAAAAGGTTTTAAAAGAAAAAAACTTTCTAAAGGATAAACTAATGATCATTTGTCCAAAAAGTACTTACACAAATAAGGGCCCTAGGAATATCTAATTATTATTGGTATAGACTTGGTCCTTCCGGCTCTCCTCCTTCCCCCCCACACCCTCCTTCCCCTCATACAACTGGAATTGCTGGTATCCCATGAGAAGGAAACAAAGAACACCCAGGGGCACTGTGCTTTTAAGAGGTTCTGCCAGTGCATTAGAGTGCTGCTCGGGTATGTAATGCTCCATTGTATATAAGGTAGGTAGTCTTTCATATTGACTAGCTCCAATATAAAAAAAATTAGATTCCATTTGTATTCAATGTTAAAACACAAAGAAATGTAGAACAGCCAGCATGACTAATTTGCTCTGCTCTACTTCGTGGAATTGAACAGTGCTAAAGCAAGATGCAATGTGATGGTGAATATGCTATGGATGTTGACTCAAAGCAGCTGAGGAGTGGCGAGTGAGGACATTTATTCTAGGACTGGTAAACAATGGGTCTGCGGCACACCAGATGGGGAGAGAATGGATAAGCTATATCTCCGGGTAATCCAATTGTTTTAGTAGAGGAAGAGAGCAAACATGTTGTTGTGTATGAACAGCTTGCCATAATTTGTTTCCACATGAACACAACAGAATGATCCTCTGCACTGCAGTGCAATAACCCTCGATCTCCTGAAATGGAAAGTTCCTTTGGACTTCTCACCAGTTTCCAAATCATCATGATTTCTCTTGGAACTTTCTACAGGCCAAGCAAAATCTTATTTTAGGTCTTTGTGCCTAGCAGAATTATTATTATTACTTACATACAATGGACAGGGGGTGACTGCCTGACTGAAATGACACTGCAATGGTATGAAGGCAATGTATCCCCTCCCCCCATTCCAACCCCCTGGGATTGCAGCAATACCTATTTCTATAAGAAATGAATGTAATTTGAGATAGCAATGGCAATTGTAAAATTCCAATGCATTTTTGGTTAGTTGCAAGAATAGTTTCATTCAAAATTGAAAGCACTTTTTCCCCATTCCTCCCTTGGGGTAAAAGTCTAGACACTTGACAATTCCATTTAGATAATAAAAGGAAAAAGCTGGAAATGCACAGCAGCAGACCAGTATCAGGAACAGAAGGACATGTTTAAGACCAGGCTTAATGAAAAGTCACACATGAAACATGAACCTAACTTTTGCTTTCAGATGCAGACTAATCAGATGAGCATTTTGTTTTCAATCTCATTTTATAACTGTTGAGATTTTTTCCCTTCAGGTCCCCCTCCCCGCATAAGCTCTTACCATCTCCTGTTTGAATCCACACACAGATACCATCTTTCTTACTCCATCAAACATGCATAGCTTGTTTACAAAGCTATTAAGCATGCATAAAACACAAGTCATGCATTAGTTGAGGAGGTAGGGCTCAGTCCTCACCTAACACAGCAGTCGGAACAAGCGGATCATTAGGCACTGTAGGAAAATAAAGCTCATGAAGAAACAGCTAATCAACTGTTTTTCTTGTTAGGTGAGAGAAGAATAGCTTAAACATGCGGATAGTACAAATGAACACACAGTTTGATTATATTACACATTTAAGTAAGTCAACATAAAATAATTCAATTAGTGGATGCCTCAGTAATGTTCCTAAAATACATTCAGTGGTGGTTATGAAGTTTTGAAATCTTACCCAAAGACCTGAGCTAACCAAGGCAAACTATACAGGGGAATTTCTTGTGTGTGAGATTAAGATAAATTATCAATGATCAAGTACATTTGTAAAATAAAGCAGGTATTCATTATAAGAAAAATTAACAAAGGCTAAACTATTATAATGTCTTAATTGGCTTAACGTTTATGTGTTTTTAAATTCAAAATAACCTGTTAAAAACAAAATGACAAGCTGATTTGAATGATTTTCCAGACTATACAAATGTCACAGACTATGGCATTTAGTTTACATCTTTATTGAGAATGTTTTATCTTACCTGATTCTGAAAAATTGAAATCTTTTAGAGACTGGATTACACATCACACTAAACAAGGTTAATTTCAACTTCTGAGTTAACAACCATTAACTGCATTTAACACCTTCCAATCTTTAGCAACTGAAATTGTTGCCGGGCAGCCTGGAACAACAAGCCAGACACTTATCATTTTCTTTTTTGAGAACTTTAAAATTTGGAAAATATTTGTCGTATGCCAGAAGCTCCAGCAATCCCAGACGAAGATGAGTGTTGGAAACCAGGCCTTGGTCAACATTTAAACTTATTTCACCAGTTTCAGCAGACCTGCACTCAGATGAAACTTCTCATCTCATCTGAAGGATAGCACCTCTGACAATGCAACTCTCCCCTTCTGCTGGATGAAGTATTACGAGTCCATGAGCTCAATGTGCTAATTTAGTACTTGGAACCACAAATATTCTGACTCAGAGGCTAAAGGGCTACCAACTGGTTCCACGTGAGAAGTAACCCAGATGAGACCATCTCAGTCAAGATCTGAGAAAGCCGCACTGACGATAATGAATCGGTGCATAATCTCCAAGCCTTTGGAATCCTGAAAAACACTTTAACTCACCAAATAAACTCTCAACTTCTCTGATTTAAGCTTGAGTGTGGCAATATGCTGTGTTACAAGCATGACCCTAAACGTTTTTACATAACTTATAGTGAATAAAATAACTATAAGCATAAAAATCCAATCAGCAATTTGTTAAATAACATAGGCGTGTAACAAAAGTATACATTGGTAACATCGTGAGAGGTTTCATCAGCCTAGAGTGTTGCGAGGCCAGGGCCAATAAGTTTTGTGCATTCATTTTCCTTGACTTTCCAAATTACATTAATACTCGTATGTAAATTTGACACAAAAATCATAGCATAGACCAGCTAATTCACACTCATACTCAATTACACTGTCTCTGCTGAGACCCAGCTAAGCGGGTAACTCAATGCTGAGCAGCACTGTGCTGGCTCCAGTTCAACAGTTGACAGAGTGACCCAGGAACCAAACCCCATTTGCTTACTGGAGCCAGTGGGGTTAGGGTTAGGGTTAAACTGTTAAGCTCTTGAGTTGGTAAATATACACAAGTTAAATAGACTACAACAACAAAATTACATTTGTAAAGCGCCTTTCACGTCGGGAGGATGTCCCAAGGCGCTGGACAGTCAGTGTTCCGGACCCGAGCTGGGGGTTGTGATTAGGGAGGTGGAGGGCTGGGGGAAGCAGGGTTGAAGAGGATGGTCTTGAGATGGGTCTTGAAGGAGGCAAGGGAGGGGGCAGGCAGAGGGACTGTGGGATGAAGTTCCAGAGGATGAGGCAGAGTGGTTGAAGGGAGCAGGCAGGATGGAAGGAGATTAGGAGGTCGCAGAGGTAGTGGGGAGCAAGGACATGGAGGGCTCTGAGGGTCGCAGAGCCTGGTGAGGGAGAGGACATGGACTGCAGAGTTCTGGATGATCTGCAGCCTATGGAGGGAGGAGTTGGGGAGGCTGACAAGCAATGAGTTTGCATAGTCAAGCCTCGATGCTATGAATGCAAATGTAACTTCAACTAGATGAAGTAGATTAATCACAGAGCACAATTACATACTAAGTTATAAATATATATATGTAAACATAAATAGATAAAATAATAAGCGGTTTACTCAATCCATGACTGTTTGTGAGACACTGCTGTGTGCAATTGGCTGCTGCACTTTTGCCCACAAAATATATACAGTCAATTCACTTTACAGTATATTCTGTAATAAGGCGCTATGTAAAATGCAAGGTTTATTATTATTATTAAGTGCAGAGAGCAGATTCCCAAGTATTAGTGGGGAGACCAATTATATAAAATATATTAATCTTCCCACTAATACTCAATCTTCAAAAACTTCCTTGAAACCTACTCAATCTAGAATTTTTTTTACATTTCTGAACAAAGTGAAACGATTTAATCAATTACTAACTGGATTATACTGGCAAATTAATGCACTGATGGGCTTTTAACAATTATTTACAGCCCAAATGGATTTTAAAGATCTGTTGATGATTGATTTAATAATTAAATAAGTGCTGACTGAACATAATGAATACATTTTATTATTTTTTTTAAAAAAATCAATGAGTTTCATAGAGGATTAATAAATGATGAATTAGTGATGACATTCTTAAATTGATTTTCTTGAGCAAGTTTCCATATCAATCTTCTCCATCCACTGTTTAGTCTGGCACTGTTCTTCCCCAGACCAAATGTTTCAGACGTCCCACACTCTTCAGATCTTTCTGTTCCTCCGTTTAGTTTTCCTGACTGATCACCAACTGCCTCCTGCAGTCTGGTTCCTCAAAACCACAACACCCAGTTTGAGTGCCTGCATCATGCAGCTGACCTTGACAGCTTGACCAGGGCCACCTATATGACAGCTCCTTCTCTCATTCTACCAAGATCCATATCCTTGGGTTTGCTCATCATCACTGTGCATTCCATTGCCCCCTCTCCTGGAAATTCATTTGTGCAAAATGTATGCATTGGAGTCTACATTCTGACCCTTAAGACTGTGAATGCTTTGCACCTAAGAAATTACCACCTGCTCCTCTGATGTGGGATGAACCCCTGTACCAGTTTGGGAGTATTAACTAAAAATTTATAAAGTGCTCTTAAAATTACATCTCGCCTTTTGATTGTGAAATGTCGTTGACTCAGGTGAGCAAAATCTCAAAGGTCACAAATGCACAAAATCACGAAAATATTATCTTTCACGGATAACCAAGTAATATACTATGCTTCAGCTCATGTGGCCAATTTCAGGATAATTATATATTACTTGCATGAGGACATATTTGAATTACCTCCTGAAAATGGCACACATGGGGTTTATTTTATTGGCAAAATGATTGGAAAGCACAATTGCTTGGTCTAACATCTCATCTGAAGGACAGCACACGCACAGCACTGCATTGTCAGCTTAGACAATGTGATTTCAAGTCCCAATGTGGGGTTTGAACCCACAACCTTCTGATTCAGAGGCATGAGAGCTAACACTGAGCCAAGCTTACACGCACAATTATTCTCTGTTCATGGGTTTCCACATGATTTCAAATACCAACGTGGGATTTGAATCCACAACCCTCTGACTCGGAGGCAAAAGTGCTACCACTGAGATAAGTTGGCATACAATTATTCTGTTAATGGGTTTCCAAACCTGACAGATGTCTTAAACTGATTGCACCCACCCAAATTATTTTTCTTCAAATTATAACTATTCCGTCAAGTTAGATATATTCAGAATTATTCTATCCTGAAGCAGATCGCTGATTAATACTTACATCTGGGGTTGAAGTTGTGAGAGTCCATAAAGGTGATGGAAAGTGGTTCATCAGCATGAAGTGTGCTTTGATCAGCATAACTCCTGTCCATTGCATTCACCATGTGCGTCATCTCTTGCCGAGCATTCCCCACTGCATCCTTACGTTTCTTGGCAAGTTTACTACAATCAGTATAAAGGGTAATGTCAAAATGTTATACTGTTAGCAGAACTAACACAAAACAAATGCTATAAATACACCAACTGTAATTGATTTTTTTTTGGGGAAAGATCTTTGACTTGTACTTGAACTGTTCATAGTTTAAAACAGGAATAGCTACCAAGCTGCTTTCTATTGTAATATTACACAAAGACTCAATGCTAGGAGATTTAGCTGCAGGATTTATGTGCGCACCAAACAAAAGCACTTTATCTACATGTCTTGTACAAATTTGAAAGAGTCGGAGCTTGAGGACAGCAGCTTCAAGGAGATTTCACGTTTTCTGTTTGAGTGAAATAAATGTGGACTACAGCTGCCAGTTATCTGGTCTGCACAAGGCTTGTGGCAAGTCTTTAAATTCAGGGACACAGTTGCCTACTGTTGAACATTCAGCAATATTTCACAAGAGGACAATTTAACTTTCATCTTTTAAGCAGCAAAATCGCTGCTTTTGCAAATTGACCATACCTAAAATTTCACTCTTGCAGTAGGTCAACACTGCAAATCTAAGCCAATATAACAAAATTCTTCTGGAACTTAATATTTTAATATCTCTACCATGCATTTATAATTCTACCTTTGCACTTCAGATTTTATCATCCGTTCATTATTTGTTGCTAGCAGATCATAGAAATTTTCACTACAATTCATGTTAATTTCTGACAGAACTCATCATTGATCTAATTAATGGAGTGAGTTATTAGATTATGGAATAATAAAGGTGAACCTGTATGTGGATGAGCTCAGTTGGACACTGCATGCCTGCTGGGTTAATATAATTTTTAATATAAATAATATTTATGTGAATAGTTGATGTAAATATTTCAGATAATGTTATGACCTGTCCTGATTTAGTCTACTACAGTGAACACAATATTACATTTATTAATAAATTGTAGATTCTAACTCATTTCAAATAGTGGTTAGTTTTTTTTGTTTCCAAACAAGCGTTTTCAACTTTAAAATATCATGCATGACAGAATGAACATAAAATACATACAGTATGCGTAAGTGTGATCATTCACAGTAAACAAAGTTTCAGAATCGTTTAAAGTGCAATGTTATAAAATAAATAGAATAAAAATAATGGCAATTTGTCAAGTCGCATATTCACATTTACTACAATTATTGCACTTCAAACATTAGCATGCACTATAACAGTAGCTGTCAAGAATTAAAAAAGGCCAGATTCCTAAGCTTTGACACAAAGTCAGAATTCATTGTTATACAGTATATGTGAAGGTTTTAAATAAGGAGCTATGCAAGATAATATAAAGTTCTGAAGCACATATTGAGGGTCTTCATAGCACGCTGATGAGCGCACAACATACTTTGAGTGTACCTCTCCTGATTCCAGCCAAGGACTTTCACTGGATCCTTCTCCCCCCAATAAAAAAAAGTAATTCATCAGGAACTATTTGAGACTGAGCAAACTGTAGCCGATTCTCATCATTTATCAAAACACAATTCCTTTCCATGGGGAAAAAAAACTAGATGCAAGTACACAGGCCAATGATTCAAGCATGAAGCAGTGAGGGGAAGAGGGAGGAATTGTGAAATGCAGGTGACATTGTGAAACTAGTCATGCTTTGCTGAAATTAATTTTAGAATCTAAGCAAGATTCATCAACACAGATAAATTGGGTGCATCCAGCTGCATCTTTATTCTAGCTAGTTATGTGCTTTGTTGCTTTATGAAAGTTTTTTTTCTTCAGGGGTAGGGGGGTGAATATAATCCCCATTACATCATTAGATCTGCCTTTCCTCTACTATTCCCTTATACTGGAGACTTAATGGAAAACAAAATCCAAGTATCTTTTGCCTTAGGAATGCTATTATAATCTCCGTTCAGGGACTTTTTCCTTCTCTCTGCCCTCTTCTGAAGGCAGCCCAGGTTTCTTTTTAACCTCATGGGAGGGACAGGGCACCAAGATCAGCCCAATCTCATGTTTCATGGGTAGTGATTAGCAACGGGAACCGTAGCTGATTTTCTCCCTTTTACTCTGGGGCACAGAGGTCAATTTAGTACTACTAATCCGATCATGGCTGATATCGGGTAATTTAGCACAAGTAAAATCAGTTTTACAAGGAAAGGCTTCTCTTAGTTTGGATAGGGGTTCACCAAAAAATATAGAAACCACTACACTTTGCATTATATTCTATGAAGTGCTTTGAGACGTCCTCCGGATGTGATAGTCGCTACATCAAATGTAAGGAATTTTATTAATTTGCATGTTGGTGAGCATGACATAAACTAATTAAACTGATTGTTAAAGGATATCTGAATATTCTCATAAGGCAAGTGAAGGCTATAACCTCACAATGCTGCTGAGTACATTCTCCATTCCCTTCTTTCCATTTACAAAATGCACACTTTCTAAATACAAGCTGCATAATTCAGTTCAAAGATGACTGACTCTGTTTTTCATTGTGTATAAAACCTACAAAAGAATCAATGAAGTGTTTCATTAGTGAAAACCAAGTGATGTTCTGACCTCATTAAAATAACTAAGTTAAAATAAAACTTTTTATTTTAACTTAGTTATTGATGTCCTGTAACACACTTGACCACATCTGAAAAAGGGGTGCCTTTAGAAGCTGATCAATAATGGTTTAACACTACAAATCTTTACCAATCTTCACGATTAACTAGCACTAGACGTTTTCATAAGAGTTTATTTTGGGGTAATCTGTGGCCATTTTTTGATCAATTGTAGCGTTTGTGTCAAAACTTAAAAAAATTGTATCCAACAGCACTGAGTAATTTTTCAAAATGACAATATAAATAGAAGTCCTCCTATTGTCTACTTACAGGTAATAAGAATAAGAATAGTAGCTCCTCCTGGCAAGCAAATCAGACAGTGAAAGAAAGAATTATTGGTGAATTAAAGTGTGAAATCATGTATAATCAACAAAGCAAATGCTAGCTGAATTTAGATACTGATCATTTTTTGTTAGCATTTTATTGCAAACTAGGCATGCAACTGTTAATTGTACATTCCATGCATTCGATCTCTTGCAAACAAAACAGAACTGATGTGCAGGGAATGACAGTGGGCAATTACATTCTAGATGTAGTCATTTTTCAGTCATTGCACAAAGCAAGTGAATAATTAGAATCGATTACACATTTCCTACATGCACTAGACAATAATTCAGGATTGTCAATTTGTCTTTATTATAAACCTGCCTCAACAGAAAAAAGAATGCAGAACTATTCAAAACAAATAAAAAATAATAAAAAGCATTGACTGATAGAATGAAGTTTGTTCTGTTCAAACACAATATAGCCAAGCTGTTTTGCACAGAAACATTGGGTTGATGAATGTATGAATGTCCAGATATTAAAAAAAATCTATTTTTCACTACAATATTTCAATGAAAGCTACAGTGATAAACGGCCATTCCAAGCACAAGGGCAAAAGTTGATGTACCGTTGATTACTTTGAGATCTTCCTTTAGCTAAACCAACTTAATTTTAATGATTTGCGTTCATTTGCCCTTTTTCCACTTAACTGAAAGTGGTAGTGGTAAATATGTATTTAAACACGGTTTCAATACTGATCAAGGAAAAATGTTCAAAGCCTACCACTGGGTAATGACACTGTCAGTGAGAAATTGATCATCTGCCACCATTTTATTTTTTAATCGTGATCATTTGGCAATATTATTTATCAAAAAACATTGAATGACACAAGTTGTTAAGTTAAAAGGCCAGACCAAAGATTGTAAGATAGACTCGTGTTTGACTTGCTGGATTGAGCCACCCAAGTGTAAGCTACAAAGTGTCAACTTGACACTAATAATAAATAATAACTTCAGTGATAAAATACCTACATATGGAATGAAACCATTACCCAATCCATTACTTGTCAAAACAAAACTTTTTAGTATCATCTCCAAGTCAAATTGCTGCTTGGAAAGTAGATACAGTATGCCTTTTCTTAATTAAGCATTAATGAACAAAGTGGACACTTTGAACAGCATGAGGTAGATGTACTTCAATGACAATTCTCAAACACTAACAAATATCTCGACAGCATTTTAATTAGTTCATTGGCATTATGCAAGTGTATTGTTCCCATGACTCTCTGCAGTTTGATTATAATGAAATCATTGTGTCCCATCAGAAAGAGAAAGGCATTGGAAAGCCTGAGGAAAGAGATACCGGGAGGGAATTACAATGCCATTACTCGACTGAAAGGATCAAGAGTGAAATGAAAGTCTGAACATGATCTGAATCTCTAACATGAATTAAAGCCTTTTATTCAAGAAACATTGTACTGTTCTAGATAGGATAATGTTCTGGTTAATTAACTTATATGCAATAAATAATAAGTACTTGCATTTGATACATCTCATCACAATGGAATGTAAAGCAGTTCACACAATGAATTACTGTACTTTGAAGTACAGTGACCTTTGTTATGGAGGCAGACACGGGATCTAATGTGGCCCAGCAAAGGTCCACACCCATCAATGAGATTAATGACCAATTAAGCTTTATTGTGAATGTGACTACAGTAGTAACCTGTGGTTCTTTTGAAAGAAAGTGCCATGGGAAATCAACATTCCGTACAGAAACAGAATAAGCAGACAAAGTCGTGGTTTAATGTGTCTGAATGAAGACCCCTTCAACAATGCAGCAGTGCCAGCCTAAATGATAAGCTTCATTTCACGTGCAGGGCTTGAACACACAATCTTCTGACTTGCAGGCAAGAGTGCTACCAACTGAGCCAATTAATAAAAAAAGGCCAACTAGATTTTGGAACACATAATGCACAAGTCCAAAGAATAAAGGTAGTCTGCAGAAGTTTTTTTTTCTGAAGTAATTTACTATGCAACTTCAGGTTAAATTGTGACATTTATTATAAGCAACCATTTATAGCAATTTGTTAATTTCAGCACTTTGTGACACACATATTGCATTACATGACAGGAGGGTAATAAAAGGTTGCCTTCTGCAACAGTTAGTGAATTATTCATACTGTAGCGTATATATTATACATCTCAAAATTCTTGTGTTGATAGGCAAAAGAGCTGGTGCTGAAAAATGCATTAGGAAATGCCAAAAGGTGCTTTGTTTCCAGAGAAGTGGTCTTACAGTGGAACAAGATGCAGTAATGCTACTTCTGAATGTGGAATGTTAAGTAGAGAATGAAAACACTTATTTGAAAAGACAAAAACAAGAAACCACAGTACCGTTGGAGGTAAATGTTGACAGACAGACACTAGATTACCATCAATCTAATACTGTTTAAGATAACAAATACGCACACAGACTTCTATGTAATATCAAACAATTAGGCAGGCAGCAGGTGACAGCTGTAATTGGTACTTTATTTTAAACATTTACAGTTTAGAACAGAGAATTATACCAATTCTTGCAATTGATATAATAATAATCCTTGCATTTGATATCACATCTTCGAGATGTCTCAAAGCACTTCACAGAATATACTGCAAAGTGAACTGACTGTGTGTGTTGTGGGTGAAACTCGGCAGCCAATTGTGCATGGCAGTGTCCCACAAGCAGTGGTGGACTGAGGAACCAATGTAGGGTATTATCACTTTGTCTAAACATCTCCAAAGAGTTTCACGGGATATAGTGTAAAGTGTAGTGACTTTATTAGTTACCAACATTCAGTTCATTAATGAAATGCGACAACTAATTGCACGCAGCAATGTTCCACAAACAGCCATGCAATGAATAACTTTTTTTTATAGGAGATTGTTGGCCAAGATACTGCGAGAAACTTCTTTTTTGAATAGTGCCATGAGATTGTTACGATCACATGAACAGGCAGACGGGACCTTAGTTTAACATCTCATCCAAAGGACAGTGCTTACTTCCTACAATGCAGCACTCGCCCAGCTCTGCACTGGAGTGTCAGCCTAAACTATGAGCTAAAATTTTCCATTAATGCAATGAAAAGCCTCAGTGCAATCATTCTGAACAAGCTATATCAAATTAAGTTTAATAAGCAGAGCTGAGGTCTTCTTGGCTAGCCAACTTTTACCTACAGTTTACTTGATGTGTTTGTAAAATTGACAGCTGACAAGTAATGCATTATAGTGAAATCTTGGTTATTCATGCCTTGATTATGTGGAGTTTACCTCTTGCTTCTCCAAATCACTCGTTTAACCAAGAGAAGCAAGACTGAATTTCATTGATGAATGTTGGTAACTGATGAAACACAATAGCTTAAGGTTCCGAACAAGATGAAATCTAAACTGCTATCCAGAATTATAACTTAATAGTGAGATACTAAAGTTTACAATATTTACATAAAGTGAGCCATTGCTAATTACAGTGAGTGGATTTCATCTATAGCTCTGATTTCTCCAGTTATGTTGAGCTCTAACCCTTGGGATTCTTCGTGATAGGGCTGTGCCTGTCTGTGGTCAGACAAAGCGTAACTTTTCAATGCCCAATATTCCCAGGAAAGAGATGGGGGTGGCAGCAATACATCCTTTAGAGGGGATACAATTCATTTCCCAATCCCTCTTGTTTCACTTTAAACAAGACTTCTTATCTCCCCATTCTTGCGGCAAATAATGTGTGAAACCTATGAGTTGACCTGTGCGGTTTAGAAAATACAAAGAGCAGAAAAATACATTTAGTGAGGAAGTAAAGAACTTCCACTTGATCGGGTTTGTAGAGGTAGACGTTACACAAGATACTTCACTTAGAAATGTGATTTCAAATTTGTGAAGACACTAAGGACTTATATCTGCATAACCCATAAAGATTTATACATCAAAATGAAAGTGGTTGAATTTAACTGACCTACCAGATGCAAATCATCATGGCCACCAGGAAAGGTAATTTACAAGCTAGATACTTAGAGAACAGGATTTAATTGGTTCACAAGGTGGGTGCTTTAACTCAAACAGAACTATCTTAATGTACCAGTTTTGGCAGAATGACTGATAAGAGGAGAAAATATGAAAATACCCCATAGGAATCTGGAGATGAATGGGCAAGATCCTGCTGAGGCCCCTTCCAGACCTGCATAAAAACCAGAAATGACCACATGTTCACTTTGAAAGCACGCGGCTTTAACCGAGAATCATTTAACAGTTGAAGCTATTCAAGGTGACAATGCAAGGCAGAAAACTAGATCTACCAATATAGTTCAATAGCAAAAGATGAAAATATTTCCATTTGGCATTAAGAGTTTCTTTTGGGGGTTGGGGGATGGGGGGGATGTAGCTAAAGGGGTTAAAAGAGAAGTGGATATCAACACCTTGTCTAATTTCACTTTGCAAGAACTAGGTCATCACAAAGACTTAAAGATTTGTATAGGAAATGTTCAGATCCACTTGAGGTCATTGATTGTGTCAGAGATATCCAGAGGGCTACACTGTCAGTTCCAGAGGAATTTAGGAAACACACACAGCTCCCGACGTGACAGTCAGGAAAACCAGTCCACAAAGCATGCACCTGGCTAAATAAAGGAATATTGTAGTCTTTTTTTCAAGAATACAGAGGAAAACAGCAGTATCCATAATTCTTATAGTCCAAAGCCATCAAGATTAAGGATTTCTCAAAGTGATGGCCCAATCTCCACAACATTACAGAAACGTAGCTGGGATATTTAACCAGATGTTAACCAGAGCAACTAGCATGCCTTTGCCTGGAATACGTGACTTTCCTCCTGTTGAGTTACTTCTTGGCCATAACTACCAATTGTAACATTCGTCATTTGGATGCAGAAGTTCAAATACATGGTATATCTTTTTTTTGGTGAGCCATAGCTTGTAAAAACATACCCATGTCCACAAGAAGGTTCTCAGCAATGTTTGAGCACTTAAGTAGAAATTCTCACTATTTCTGTATTCTTACTAAGTATTGTCTTAATAATTATACTTGGTAATTATTGTCTCCAGATAACCACCAATACACTACTTGCTATAGTTTAGGAGTTCTTCATATATAATGCTTTCACAGCCAAATCACTCATGTGGAACCTTGGCCCCACAATCTGGATGCTGCATTGTTTCTACATTCCCTTGTACTGTTGAGTATTTAAAGCTAACGGCTATCTCATTTATAATAATTTATTAATGGGTTGGCATGATTCTGCATCATGTTACCAGAATTTCGAAATGGCATACATTCGAAAGGGGATAATGCCATTAAGCCCATCAAGACTGTTCCACAAAATGTTACAATAAAGGTTTGGATTTTGGTGATTATTGGAACTATTAACTTTATATACAAGCTAAATCGCAATATAGATATTACAAGCACAATAAACACAGAAAATAATTAAAATCCTCAATGGACTATATTATCCTTTGGTAAGAACAGGTCAGTGAAATCAGCCTCCGCAAATCATCTTCTTTGTCTTCATCGGAAATATATAACAATCTCTGGCATCTTCCATGTAATGGTCTATGAATTGAATTTTCATGATGGGAACTTTGTGCTCTCCCAAAAAATAGCCTATGATGGAACAGTCATCTCCGTTTCCCTCAGAACAATGCTTTAAAAGTAATTTGAAAAGAGTTCTGGAAACACTAGCCTCTTTTAAATCTATTCTACATTGGGAAAAGGCTATACAGAGCAAAATAAACATATTGCCTAGACAGCCAATGTTTGTAATCTTTGCTAAAGCTGCCAAAGGAATCACATGAATGTGGCAAAAAAGTGCTTTCTGTTCCTAAGAATGTAAAACTCATTATTCCTTAATATCAAACTTGATCCAAGTTGCTGTATATTCAATTATACAATTAATATTGAGCAATAAAATTATGTCTGAAGACGGGTAGCAAAGCATCTACAAAGGATGCTTGAATCAAGAGGGTTAACACTGCTGCTTATATAACCCGGAAGAGTAATAATTAACATACCTTTCTCCAGAGGAATTAAATGTTGTATGTGCATGAAAGTATCAAAAGGTAGTGGGCCCACATAACTTTACTTGCTCATATATTTCATTGTTACATTGTCATGCATCTTTGAAGAATATACTTTTTTTATCAGCTGTTCTTTAAATGCTTAGAAACCTAGTTTACTGCATTGTTTTGAGTTCCAGATAAGTAATATGATAGACAATCTTCTGCTTTCACCAGGCATGGACATACAATTCTGCATAGATATGTCCGTGATCTGTGCAGACTGAAAGATTCCCTGTATGAACTGATGGGCTTGGTCCACCAGAACTGGCAACACAAACTGAGTGTCATAAAAGATAAGGGTAGATGCAATCTGGTCATTCATCTCTAAACTGTGGTCTGTTCAAGAAATGGCCTTTAAATGGCATTGAAAAGAACTGGCATGCCCTCATTCCAAGCTCTATTATGTTCTTATATATTTATATCAATCTTCCATAAATAGAAGTCATAAAAAATAGCTGCAAGCAATCCAACAACCTCCCAAAGAGGTGAGCTTTTAACTTTGCTCCTGGGTAGAACAGCTGTGCTACTGCATAAATATCCCTGCCAGTCTCTTGGGAATACAAATATGCCCTTATTGGTTAATAAGCAACCTTTTACAAACATCATTGCTTCAATTTGCAAACGTTATTGGAGCTACTGGATATTTTAATGTGAGGATCCTCAGATTGTAATTTATGGAAATCCACATAGGTCTACCAATATCCTTAGATGAATGGACATTTTAACAGGATAGAGCAAATCAAAAGAAAAAGCAAAATGTAGATTGACATCTTGCCTTCCAAGTTTATTGTTTGGGAATTTTCCTCCTTTTGATTTCAAGATCAATGGGAGACTAAGTCCTAGAGATTCCAAAGAACTAGCGCAATGCTTCAATCTATACAAATTATTGGAATTAACAGGATTCCCAAATACACTGTTTGGACAAAATTTTCAACTCATCAATTTGAATATTAAAAATAGTAAGGAATGATGAGCGAAATGATTCAAAAGTACTTAAGTCTGGCAACTCGTATCCAAAGGCAGGAATAAATAAAAGCACAAACTACAAGTAAATAGAATCGTCAACACAACGCAAACTCAAGGTTAAATAGAAATTTACTCAAATTATTGATGTAGAGAAGAGAGAAGACAGATGCATGATGAAGAACTAAGACAAAGGGAAGGAGGAAGAGGCTAAATATGAATACAAAGAGAATAGACAGAGTTACTTCAGGGTGAGACGTAGGTGCATACAATGAAAAGAGGCAAGGAAAAAGCGGGGACATGAATACATAAAGGAAGAAGAGAAAAAAGGGCAGAAATACACACGGAGAAGGTAAAAGGCCAAGGAGGACAGAAATGGAGAGGAAGGACATGGCAGTCAGTAAAGGGTGAAGGGGCACTACCAATGATCTCAACATTCTTTAGGCATTCAGGAGGAAAGAGGAGAAATCAACTAGGATGTCCCACCATGCTACAATTGGCCTGGTATCTACTGACAAAGGAAGATCAGGATTCCCACTCCAGATAGAAAGCCAGTAATTCCTACTGATATTGGGTGAGAGCAGTTCTAAATACAACAACAACAAATTACATCTGTATAGCGTGTTTCATGGTGGGAGGATGTCCCAAGGTACTGGACATTCAGAGATTTGGACCCGAGCTGGGGGTTGGGATCAGGAGAGGTGGGGGGCAGGAAGGATTGCGTAGGAGGGTGTCTGAAGGTGCAGTCGAAGAGGAAGGTCTTGAGATGGGTCTTGAAAGAGGCAAGGGAGGGAGCGAGGAGAAGTAACTATGGGATGGCGTTCCAAAGGGTGGGGGCGGAGAGGCTGAAGGCCCGACTGCCAATGGCGGGTAGGGCCGGCGTGGGAGGTGGAGCAGGCCGAAGCCTGCTGAGTGGAGGAAGCAGACAGTGGAGGAAGGTTGATATGGAGTTAGCATCCATCCATGGTTGCATTCTCCACCTTACTAAGTCAGTCCGGAACCTTGGTGTCTTGTTTGACCCTCGACCATCCTTTCTACCCCACATCTGTGCCATGACTTGCTCTGCTTCCCCCTCCTCCACAACATCACCCGGCTTCCCCCACTGCCTCACACCACAGGCCGCAGAAACCCTCATACATGCATTCATTACATCCAGGCTTGACTTCCTGGTAGGAAGGAGCAAGGCCATGAATAGTCTTGAAGGCCAGGACAAGCATTTTGAACTCATCCTTTGAGGGATGGGGAGCCAGGGGAGGGTGGGGGTGATAGGGTAACTGAGCCTGGTGTGGGAGAGGACACAAGTTGGAGAATTCTGGATGATCTGCAGCTTGTGGAGGGAAGAGTTGGGAAGACCGTCAAGGAGGGACTAGGAATATTCGAGCCTAGATGTAACAAATGCATGGATTAGGGTCTCGGTGGCCTGAGAGGAGAAGCACTGGCAGAGACGGGCGATGTGGCAGAGGTGGGGGAAGGCAGAACTGGTCATGGCACAGATGGGGGGTAGAAAGGACAGTTGAGGCTCAAACAAGATGCCAAGGTTCCTGGAGACTGTGTTTAACTCTGATATTAAACACAGTCTCTAAGATTTAACACTCTGCGAACACTCATTCCTCAGGTTCACGTATAAATCATGTCCATGGAGAAGTGCTATATGGTCAGGAATGTATCCCAGCACATGCCATCAATTTCAGGAGAGGCAAAGGCAGTAATTTGGGAAAGGAAGCGAGACATTTATGGCCATGTGATGCCTATATTACAGATTAAGATTATATCTATAGTATTGGAGGCATTTTCTCATCTAAATTAACTAAATTTAACAAAATGAAAGTTACTGTAAACCCTGTGAAATTCACTTGGTGGATGCAGAAAATATGCAGTCAAGAACACCTGATGCATCAAAGCATAATGCACAACTGAGATTCAAAGAAATTCGTCCAATGCTTCATCATTTACACCTTAAAGAATAGTTGTGCATCATGCAAATATATTATATATTATTATTATAGAGAATAGTTAACTCCCATGCCCTCTATAGCAAGCATTTTTACAAAAAAAAACTACAGGTCTTTATCATATATTTTCTTTTTTGTAGCAAAGAGGATTAGTCCTAGTAAGCTTATATATTTTGCAGCTTGCTATGATTTTATAACACTAATAGAAGTTAGCACTTTTTTACAGTATGCAATTATCCTTCATGCATTTAGAGCACTTAGTACAGTCTACAAGGATAAGTAATGAATAAGAAGATTAATAGTTGCATACAATATATTCTATAAATTCTTGCAGTTTCATACCTTCTCTTGACGATCATTACCACAACCAGGAGGAGGAGGATAAAAACCAGGATTCCAGCACTGATTCCAGCTATTTTCACCACTCGATCAGTTTGCTTCCCAGGATCAGGAATCACTTCAGGTTCTTCCGTTGTGGCTGCTGAATTAGTCACAAGAAGTGATTGCATGAAAGCATGTAATTTTCCATGGCAGGAAAATGATCCTTCCCGTCACACTTACACAAGCACGCTTCAATAATCAAGGTATAATTCATAAAAACTTTTTAGCCCATGTTATGCGGCTGGTATATTTCATCTCATTAATTTCATCCCTACATTAATAATACAGGAAGTACAAAGCATTCTTAAAAAAATGCCAATTTAATAATCAGGCATGGGAATGAGGATTTTAAAAAAACAAAGCGTCAGAATGATTGTAGGAAAAACTACATTGCACAATTATTCCCATTACAGTTTCTACCGAACATGGTCCAGTTTTAGTGAAGATCAGATCTAGGTGATCTCTGAATAGGGCATTTTAGAAGCAGAAATGGAAATTTCACAATTACCACAAAACCATTTAAAGTCAGATAACATCAGGAAGGACACTATATCTGTTTTTTAAAAACCAAGTTTAAGCAACCGAAAATTTAAACAAAGAGTTTAAGTATTAATGTTGATAGATGCAGGTTTCACACAATTAAAAGTTTGGTTAGTGAATCAAGTTGCAAGGCTTCTTTACACTAATCCCCAAAATCATGTTGACCACTTAATAATATTGTAAATCTTAGAATTACCTACTTCCATATTACACTATAAACAACTCTCATGAAAATACATAAATGTAAAACGTGTGAATTATATTTTGACGAGTTAACTGATACATTGATGGAAGATTTCAGTTTGTTACTACAGTTTGATTCAGAGACAGACTGAATGTGTTACAGCAATGTACATCTGACGATGAAAAGGTTAAGCACAAAATTATACTTGGGCTGTAAGAGCAATAAAGGATATTGAGAAAAGACAGGGAAATGGAATTAAAATATTTACCATGATCTAATAAAATGCTAGAACATACTGGATATTCCTGTATTCCTAATTCAGTGATACACCATTTCTAAATTATTCATTTTTAATTTATCCAAAACCGTGAATTACAAGTAAAAGTATTGCTATGTATTAGCTTTGAAATTTTCCATTTATAATACAATAATACAAAATAACTGCATTTTCCAGAAACTGACCTTTTGACATCAAGATTCGATTATGATACCAAAATGGCATTACTTAAGTGCCCATTTTCATTTATTGGCTGTATTACTACAATACAATCAACACTCAATAATTTAATATATATTGCTCCAAAACTGCATAACACAATCTTGTACAAATTTTCCAGTTGTACTGTTCCAATCTGGGATGTGTTTTACAGAATTGAAATATAGATGTGTAAGGGAAATGCTGCTGCAGTCTGTGAAATGAAGCTTGCCATTTTAACACATTTTCTATTGATCTGAATTTACATGCTTTGTGAAAACGTGTACTTGCATATTCCTGGAAACCAGATACGATGCAATTGGATAACATCTGTGATAAAACTTTGCCCTCTCAAACACTTTGGGATGCCCGTCTGATGTGAAAACACCTGAATTTAAAATAGTACTGTATTGAAATAGATCTTGCTCAAACTAACCATTTTTGTTCTAATAAAACTGCAACAACCAATACAAACTGAACCAGATTTAACCATGAAACCAAATCTTTTCATCCTGGATAATAGATTATGAATGAGCAACAGGTTGTCACTTTAATCATTAATACATATTGTAGTAGACTCCCTTCCTCACTCCCTTCGCCTCACTCCCTCTCTTCCTATTTTCAGGTCTCGACTGAAGACCTTTCTTTTCGACCGCGCCTTTGGTCACCTTCCTCCCCCTCCCCCTGGCTCGGCCCTGGGATCCATTACTGTGAAGGACTCTAAGACGCCGTCCGGCGTGGAGGGCACTATATAAATCCAAGTTGTTGCTGTTGACTGAAACAATGCATGCAAAATTAGAAAATAATGACCAGTGTCTGCATGAAGTATTGATTTAAATTTAGTTGATAAAAAGCTTTTAATTAGCCAATAAAGTTGCATAGTGTTATTGGTCACCTACGGTCATCTTCCCCCTCCACCTGGTTTGGCCTCGGGCTCCACCATTGTTAGAGCTCTGAGACGCAGCCTGGGTTGGAGGGTGCTATGTAAATGCAAGTTGTTGTTATTATAGAAACAGCTGTGTTATAAAATGTTTTGTAAGTCAGCAATTCTGTATGCAGTTTGATAGGGAAATGCTTTAATGATCAAATGTTATGTAAAATGGAAAATTTCTCATTGCATACATACTGTTAAAGTGACTGCATTTTTAATAGCCATTGTTTGCTACATTTTTCATGTCATGTCTGCATGATTAATGCAAAATTCACACTCAGGTTTGTACTGTGCAACTGCAAAGTAATTTGTTAGGTCCCACCATCTCACCTTGAGAGAAGAGTAATTTCACAAGGAAATTGCAGTGTAAATGCAGGTGGTTGATTTGATTCCTTTAGGAAAGACCTATATTTTTTAAGTGACAATTTCATGTGACTGATTCTTTAACACTATTCAAAACAGATTAGTATTCAGATCTCTGCTCTAAAAACCTATGTATTTGTGTTGTAAGGATACACATGTAGCTGCAGATATCAACACTTCTGCAATATTCTATTGACATGACAACTCATTGTTCCATGTGTATAAGAGCCATGGCAGCATACTGAGTGTCAGTGACTCTCGGGGTTATTATTTGAATAGATTTGAAAATCACATGGCGAATATAAGGTCTGAATAGCAGCGGCAAAATAATCTTATCCAATGGATTGAGACCCCCTCCCCATAAAGTTATAACATTAAAAATAATTGGAGAATTAAACAAAATTACAACTGAGAACACAAATACTGTACTTTCGTGAATTGAACATTTTCTATTCACTTCTTCTGTTATTGCAAATGCACCAATCAGTTAATGTGCTAACCTGCAATATCTTTACAATTATTCCTGTAGAGGGCAGTCAACTATCTCATTATCTCACTCTTGCCATTCTAGTTCTTGGATAGCTACTAAGGACTTGGGATACATTACACAACACATGTAATACCTTACATTCATATGAAATATTTTAAGAGGGACAGAATTTCTAATTTCCAAATTTAATATAGCACCTTGTCACGTCATTGAAATGTCTCAAAGTACTTCACGGATTCACTGTAAAGTGTAGTAACTATTGGTAAATGAAAGCACAGCCAAATTTTGATAGCAAAGTCCCATAAACAATCTCGACATGAGCAATTTTTTATTTGGGGGAACCTTGGGCAGGATATTGGGAGAAACTTCCTTCTCTTTTCACGTAGTGGCATGGGATCTTTCCCGTCCACTTGAAAAGGCAGATGGATTCTCGGTTTAACCACTCATCTGAAGGACAGCACCTTTGACAATGCAGTGCACTGGAGTGTCACCATAGACTATGAGCTCAAAGTCCCGACACAAGGCTTGAACCCACCACCTTCTGACTCAGAGATGAGGGTGCTATCAACTGAGTTAAGCTAATAACAAGGCTATTTGGTTAACAAGCTAATAATAGCCAATAAGCTAATAACAACTAGGTTTCTAGCTGATGAGGAACACAGAAACAAGAGGAAGCCATTCAGTCATCCACTATTTTCAGCTTGTTCTATTTTCACAGCTGATCTGTAACTCAATACCATTAAATTGACCAAATGCAATGCAGCAGCACAGACACAGTTATTATCCTGCAGAGCAAAACATAACTTTACACAAAGAATAACTTGACACAGGAAAGAAACCTAAAATCAGAACCTTTAACCCACAGCAATATTCCACTACCGCGAGCTATAAATGAACATTTTGTGTCCCTGAACACCTCTGCTCTCATCTTAAGTGATAGCATCCTTCCTCCTCAATATCCCAAACACCCTGATTTTGCACAAACTGCCACAGCCCTTCATAGAACATAACATAACATGTAGGAGCAGTAGAGTAGGCCATTCGGCCCTTCAAGCCTGCCACGCCATTCAATCATGGCTGATCTTCTAATCTAACTCCAGCTAATACCATAACCCTGCATTATCCCCATAACCAAGCTCTAAAACATGAACATAGCCTGTAATTGCATGGCTTGCTACTGTATTAGTTTATACAGTTAAAAAATATTCCCATGAATCTACAGATGTTATGATTAGATTTCAGCAAAGGCTTTAACAGTTCCACTCACAACTAGCCTGCAAGACACGAAGGCCAATAATGGAGAGGGGAAGCTTCTGAAATGGGTTGAAAATTGACTGGACCATTACACAAAACCATGCATAGAGCTACATTGGCATGGAGGGAGATAACCAGTAGGTGCCTTAAGATGCATTCTGTGGCTGACTCGCTTCACACAGCATAAATGATTTGGAAGTGGGGACAGAATCTGCCTTAGTTTGCTGATAATACTAAACTGGAAATAGTTGCAATAGCAGAGAAATCACTCACCAAATACAGAGGGATTTGAATAGATTAGAGAGATAGGCAGAAGAATAGCAATTATTTTATGTGGATAAAGTCCAGATTGTTGAAACTGAGGAAGGAGAATAAATAGTGGAAACTAAATAGGAGAGGAATTTGGACACACATCATGGAAATCATTAGGGCAATGTGTGACAGCAGTAAATATATTGATCACAATCTGGTTTATATAGCTAACACGATAGATGATAAAAAACAGAAAGTAATACTGAAGTAGTAGAGAGTACTGGTCAATCCACTTCAAGCACTATTTTGGAGTCCTGTAGCTCAGTGGTTAGAGCACTCGCCTCAAAAGCGAGACATGTGGGCTCGATTCCCAGCAGGGCGAAACGTTGGGCAAGTTTACTTACTCCACACGCCTCTGTTTACTTAGCAGTAGGAACCCGGTTGTGAGTCTATTGGCAGATCGCTTTTATGGGGGTAATAATCTCTTAAAAAATATATATAATTTGGTTACTCAATCCACGACAGTTTGTGGGACACTTCTGTGTGTAAGTGGCTGCTGCGTTTCGCCTGTAAAATATACAGTCAATACACTTTACATTATATTCCGTGAC